AAAAGCGCCGCCCGCGCCGCCGCCGCCGCCGCAGTGCCCTCGCGCTCCCCGCGGCACCATGATGAGCTACGGCGTGGACGCGCTCTTCGCCGGCCCGGGCGGCGGCGCCTTCCGCAAGGAGGCGGCCGGCGGGCGCTACCTGGCGGCGGCGCGCTCGGGCGGCGGCGGCGGCGGCGCCTCCTCGCTGGCGTCCAGCGGCTTCCACTCGCTGGCGTGGTCGCGCGGCTCGGCGGCCGGCTCCCGGCGCCTGGGGGCGGGCGCGCTGAGCCAGCTGGGCTCGAGCGAGAGCCTGGAGTCGTCGCTCAACGGCGCCGGCGGCGGCGGCGACCTGCGCGGGCGCAACGAGAAGGAGGTGCTGCAGGCGCTCAACGACCGCTTCGCCGGCTACATCGAGAAGGTGCGCCAGCTGGAGGAGCAGAACCGGCAGCTGGAGGCCGAGGCGGCGGCGCTGCGCCAGCAGCAGGCCGGGCGCTCGGCCATCGGCGAGCTGTACGAGCGCGAGATCCGCGACATGCGCGGCGCGCTGGTGCGCCTGGGCGCCGAGCGCGGGCAGCTGCAGCTGGAGCACGAGCGCCTGGAGGAGGACGTGGCGCGCCTGCAGCAGCGCCTGGACGACGAGGCGCGCCAGCGCGACGAGGCCGAGGCGGCGGCGCGCGCGCTGGGCCGCTTCGCCGGCGACGCGCGGCTGGCGCGCGCCGAGCTGGAGAAGAAGCTGCAGGCGCTGGCCGACGAGGGCCTCTTCCTGCGCCGCAGCCACGGCGACGAGGTGGCCGAGCTGCTGCGGCTCGCGCAGGGCGCGGGCGCGGGCCCCGCCGAGCCGCGCGACCCCGCGCTGCGCCCCGACGTCGCCTCGGCGCTGCGGGAGATCCGCGCGCAGCTGGAGGGCCACGCCGCCAAGAGCGCGCTGCAGTCCGAGGAGTGGTTCCGCGGTGAGTCCCCGCAGGGCGCGTCCTCCCCCGGGGGCTTGGCGCGCGGGCGGGCGGCGAGGGGGGGGGCGCGGGAAGCGCGCCGCGGGCCCCGAGGCGTCCCGCGCGGCGGAGCGGCCGCCCTGGGACGGGGGCGCGCTTCCTGCCGGCGATGCTGTGCATCGAAAATCACAGCGACCCCCTGGAAAATGCCCCCTGCTCAGACGCGCAGACCTTCCTTTCAGGTCCGTCCAGGCGGCGGCACCGGGACTGCGCTGTGACATTTCGCCCCCCCTCCGCCAAAATCGACCCTTTCTCTCCCCCGGCCCTGTACCGACCGCTGCTGCAATTTTGCTCCAAGCGCGAATGGGCCGGGGCAGCGCCTGTCCTGCGGGAGGGGTCCTGACGGGCTCCCGGTGCTCCCCAGGAAGGAAAATGGAGACCTTGTATTGCGGGGTGTCCCCCCCCACGAAGGAAAGAATTGCAGTGGGAGGGGTGCTGGCCTCACTGGCCCCAGTACAGTAAATTAACTTAATCAGGATATTAGCGATCCTCCCAGCCTCCATAGCCTCTGCATAAGTGCCCCCATCAAGACCCCCTCGGGAAAGGGCTGGCAGGCGGAGCAGAGAAGCTAAGCCACGGAGAGTGAGAGCAGTGCAGCGTGTGTGTGTGTGTGGGGGGGGGGGGGGGGGGGGGCTTCCCTTTCCCGGGGGGGGGGGGAAAAGGGGGGGGCCGCCGCGGGGGGGGGGGGGGGTGTTGGGGAAGTGCAGTGTCGAGGCAGGTGACTTCTGGAAAGGCGCGTTTCGGATTAGCTGGGCGAGGTGATCGCGAGGGGGGTGAGATGCACCCAGGGCAGGGCTAGGAGGAAGGATTGCGTGCCTTGGGCATATGGGGGGGGGGCTGCTCCCGTCAAGGATGCGGGTGGGCGACACTGCATTATCGCTGTCGTGGGAAGGGACGGCATCTCCCCTCGTAGGCAGGAATCTCCACCGGTGGGGCGGGAAGGGGGGAAATGAAGTCCCCACATTCCCCGATATTGTGCAAGGAGTCCAAAAGGAAGCGTGGGGGAGGGGGTTTGAATTCCCGGACCTCTGGGGGTAGGGGCAGCAGGGGGGAGAAGTGAAAAAGCCCCCGATCCATCCACAGGAGAACAGTGGGTGGGGTGGGTGCGGTTAAGTAACCTCGTGGGGGGCAGAAGGGAGGCGGGGGCGTGCCTGGGGGCGTGTGTGGTGCCATCTGCAGTCGCTGCTGAGTCAGCTCTTGTCTTCTGCAGCAATTTGAGGCCAAAGTCAGTGCATGTGGGCAGCCGCGGGGGCGGGGCGGGGCGGGGCGGGGGGAGGAGGGAGCTCCCGCTGGTGCAGCATGACTGGCCCTGTCCCACCCCCTCCACTCCCCGGCCAGCCCCTCCCAGTGCCCTCAGTGCCCCTTTGGGAGGCATCGATCTGCCCACAGACGGACGGACGAGGCTGTAGCATTGCGTGGGAAGGAGACATGGGGGAGTAAAGGGGGCCGCAGCCCCCCACTCTGGGAGCTTGGGGCTTTTCATGATGCCCACGAGCAAGGAGGCAGCCGGCACCTAAAACTGCACCGTCACTGTTCACAGTGCTCCTTTCTGGTACCCACCACCAGGCAGACATCCAGAATCAGAATGATGCCGTGGTAGTAATGGGGAGTGGCCTGTTTTGTGAGTGGGTGGGGGGCTTCTGAAGATCGCCTGAGGGCGAACGGGCGTAGGGACAAGTGTCCTCCATAAGGAGAGCTTGGAGACTTAGGGGGCTGCGTGCACATGGGTGGCTGAATCTCACAGGGACCCAACTCTGAAAAGTTATAGGACCACCCAGTGGAAAGGAGCCCCCGCCCCCATCCCCCTCAAAGGCTGCAGGAATCAGAGTCCCCGTCCCCCATAATCAGCCTGACATTTGGGCAAATTGCAAGGGCAGGTCTCGTCAATCCATCCCCTTTCTTTCCCCCACCGCACTCTGCAGCCGCAGGTCCGCTCTCGCCTCTCCCCACCCCGCGCGTTGTGCCGGGCGCACGGTGGGTGGGTAGAAGGTCAGCCGCGGGCCACTGGGAGGTTTCTGAGTGCAGTGCAGTGGAATCACAATTCTTTAACGACAGCCGCAGGAGAATGACCACCCAGCCTCCCTTTTGCCGCTGAAAGGAGAAGCTCAGCATCCACGTGAAAGGGCTGCGAGCTCAGTTCACTTCTGGCAGTGGCCTCGGCGTGCCATTATTTCACCCAGTTTAATTCAGTTAGCTAGCGGTGCTTCACCACGCGGCTCCCGGGTTCAAGGAAGAGCACAAAGGACCCCACAGGCCTTATCCTTGCCCTCCCGCTGGTGTCGGTCGGTCGCAAAGAGCGCTCACCGCGAGCCGCTGTCCTTGGTGCTGATGCGACGCTGGTCGGGTCGGCTGTGTGTTTCTGTCTGGATCCCGAGATCTGCCAGTTCGAGCCAGGTGCAAAGACCTAGAATTAAAGCATGGGGCACCTTTCAGCCCATCCTCAAATGTGTCCCTGGAGGGCCTGCCGTGTTTGCTCGATTGCATTGGAGAGAAAAATACATGAATTTTGTTGAATACATGAATACATGCCTACATGAATTAAAGACGCAGCACGATCAAGCACGGTTAGTCAGCAAAGACAGGCTAAGCCCGCTGAGAGGCACCCAGAGATCGGCTGGTGAATCTCCTTTGCTAGACCTGCTTTTGGCCATGTCTGGGCTGTCTTGCCTCGCTCCTCCTGTCCGGAGTGGAGCATTGCAAGGGTAACTGGAGGTTTTGAGCACCTCAGCAGGGTTTGGTTCCGAGATGGTTCTGGAGCTTTCTCTCCACTCTCACCATATTTTCCGCAAGGGTAGGGGAATGTGAGATTTCATGCCAGGTTGCTAAGGAGCAAAACCAATCAAATGGGAAAACAGAGCGAGGCAGATTTCTGCCACTGTGCTAATCAGACGTTGACCGTTACTCCTTCTGCTAATGAGCATGATAGTTCTATGCAGCATTTTAAAGTGCGCACTTCTCCTTAGCTCATTGCTTGTGCCTCGGCAGCCTTGTCCCCTTGCCCAGCGACTTCCCGTCTGCTGAGTCAGACGGCACTGGCACTTCTGCCAGGGACGGGGCAGCAAAGTCTGCCTGCTGCCAAGGGAGGGAGAGCCAATTCCTGCAAGCCTCGCCTTCCAAACCGCTTCCCACATTTCCTTCCTTCTTTCCCCACCTCAGATGGGGACAGACCTTTCTCCCCTCTTCTGGACGGTGCACCCTCCTCTCCAAAATCACAGGGTGGCATTGGACGCTTTTGCGTGCAGACCTCTGCTTGCGTAGCGGGACTTTTTCCTCCTCCCCCCTCCCCAAACCTGCTCTGGAGGCGTGTCCCCCAACCCTTTGCGGCAGCTTCTGAGGGAATGAGGGGGCTGCAGGAGGGATGAAGAGCCACCCCTCCTCATGCCAGTGAAGGAGGAAGGACTTGCTCGATTCCACCCACGTTCCTGTAAGCCACACTTACTCACGGAAGCAGGAGTCGTCACTCACATGCGCACCCACCGTGTCTCCAGCACCCCTGGCCTGAGACAGGCTCCGAGGAAGATCCGATCCGAGGGGCACTGCAGGATCCACTGTTTGCCACCGGGGTGCAGAACTCCCTGCAGCAGGTTGTGGCCCCGTGTGAGTGCTAGAGAAGCTCCCAGGGTGCGCATGCTGTGATGGATGGGGTGGGGGGGCAAATTGTTTTTTATAATAACAACATAAAAAAACAAAAATTGCTTAAAGAGCTTCCTGCCAGTTGCTAAGTCTTAGGAGACACAATTTGACCTTTTAGGATAGGAGCATTGGCACAAAGCCTGGGAGATCTCCCCATGTTTGCTGCCTGGGAAAAAGGGACTTGGACACCAGGGGGAACCTGATGCTCTACCCCCTCCCCCATTAAAGATCGAGCATCTTGATTTGAATTTGATCAAAGATCAAGATCTGCCTTGGTCTGCTCTTTCCGACCCCTCTCACCTTTCGTGGTTGCTCGTCCACCACACCGTTTCCATGCTGCTCTTGCTGGAACCGGCCCCTCCAGCCGTCGCCCCGTTTTGTAGGGCCCCTTTGTTCAGCACCGTCAGGGATGCGAGTGAAGGGGAGAAAAGGCCCCCTTGAGTGTGCAGCATCTTCCTCAAGCAGCCCAAGCGGCCCCGGAGGACCCAAGTCACATTCCAGCCAGTGCAGCCTTCCACCCGGGGAGCTGTTGGACCACAACTCCCAGGCATTCGCAAGCCAGCATCCAACACCCCGGAGGGCTCCGGGCCGGAGGAGGCGGATCCCGTCCTGCATTCTCCTTGGAGCAGCCCTCAGCTGCACGCCTTGGGGCGGTGAAAGGAAGTCCTTCCTCCGGTCCGGAGCCCCCGCGGCAGTGCTGTCTGTGGGGATGCTCGCAGGCTGAGATGCAGCACGTGAGCTTCGTGAAGGAGGACAGTGCCCGTGAGACTGGACCCAGGCACGCATGCTGCCTCCAGCCTGCCCTGTGTTTGCCTCGAATGCAAGAGGCAGACGACTTTGAAACAGGGAAGCCCCACTGGGTGATCATTGCTGATCCCCATAAATGACCCGTCATGACCTGCACGCAGCCCCCTAAGCCTGGCCCTTGTCCCACTTTGTGGAGGGGGTTGTCTGTACTGATGCATGACAGGCACACCAGGCAAGCAGGCCAGGAGCTTCAAGCCCTTTTCTTCGGACGACTTTCCTCCGACGCCCTTCTCAGGAGTGCCGATGCACAAGGGCGATGGAGGAGGAACGCCCACTCTCCGGGGCAGTGTGACCTCTGGTGCTGAGCCCCTCTGACTCTTCCTCTGAGGAAGACTCGCATCGGGAAGAGCTCCTTCTCCTCGTTTGTGTGTGAAGGTTATTCAGGGATGCACTTTTCCTTATCCCAACTATAAAAAGTACATTTAGTATCAAGCTATTTTTCCTCTTCCCTCCCCATCCCCATCCCCTTTCATGCTGCGTCTTTTTAGATTGTAAACCTGTGGGCAGCAGCTGCCTTGTTTACCGATGGCATGTGACCCTCCAAGAGCCCTTTTAGCTGAGGATTGGGCCGCATATCTTTTAAATAAATTAAATATCTACAAAGTGGAAGGCCTTTTCTGCAGTTATCCCTTGATACTCCTCTTCTGCCTGACAGAAGAATTGTATTCTTTTCCCAGGGATTTCAAATTTAAATTTGTATTTTTAGCTGGGTAAAAGTGTTTATCCTTCTCAGTATTATAGTTTTATGTTTAGATTTATACTTCTAATGTTCTTTCATTGAATACCTCACTTTTGTGATTTCCTCTGAAATTCTCTTTTGGATGAAGGTGCCAAATATGCATTTTTTTAAAAATAAAACATGGATGAGATTGTGAGAGAGAGTCACCGACAGCTCCTTAACTATTGCTTTAGCCAGCTCATTTTAAAAATGAGGCTGCAGCCCTTTACCCATTTTCTTGAGAGTAAAGCCTCTCGCTCACCCACCGAGACTTGCAGTCCAGTGCATGCCTCTTCAGAAGCAGGCTGCATTTCTCCCTCTCCACTCCAAGACCATCGCAGGGAAATCCTTCTGCACCTTAAAATAGTAAAATGTAGACAGAGATGAAAAAGGGAAAAAGTAAGACCATTCCTTCTGAATCGATGGTCAGAGTCACTGTTTATGGAGTGTCACGTCACAGCAATGCTCTTGTTTCATTATTCTGCAAGACACAAATGAAAAAGGACCACCTTTTGTTTCGAGAGAGGAGGCCTGCTGAAAAGCGAGTGAACAATTAGGACAACGACCCCAAGGCTGAGGATCCCCAGCTCTGTGGCTGCAGTTGTGGAACAAAGCCGAGGCTTAAACCATGCGAAGTATGGACAAGAGAACGAGGAGACCGGTGTATTCATAAGAATGCTTGGCGGTTAAGGGAGGGGTGGGGCTGGGCGCAGGGCACAGCCACACGGGCGCCAAAGGGCAGGCATGGCCCGAGGCCTTTGGTTCCCCACCCCTGCGTCGCGCAGAAGGGCCGGGGAAGAGGTGTGCAGGGCAAGGCGCTGGATCCCTGGTTGCCGGTTCTTGCTTTCCTCTGTTCCTCCTGCCAGGGACTGGGAGCGGGGCTGGTGGCTCTCTCTTGGGGGGCTGGCTTTGGGTCCTGCGCACCGAGACGGCGGGTGGGAGCGCCGCTCACCTCGAGCAGCAAAGCGTCTCGCGCTGGCCCCCAGTGGAGCGGTCACTCGGAGGTGCGGGCACTCCTCAGCTGCAGCCCAGGGAGAGTCCAGGAGGGAGGGGGGTCGAGCAGGATCCCCCCCTGCTGACCACGCTCCTGCTTCCACCTCCATCTGGAGCAGGGCTTTTGGTCCACACTGCCCCTGCAGTGAGTGCCCCCGCTGATGACCGGACGGTCGGTCGCACTTCAGTGCCACGCGTCCCGCCTCCGCGACTGCTTTCTGCATTATGTGCTGCCAGCCGCTGCAGATGCGCACCAAAGCCAGGGAAGGCACTCTCCCGCAGAATCCCAGGCCTCCTCTTGTTCCGCCTGTCCAGGAAGGGCAGGAACAGCCCAGGCTGCAATAATTCTGATACGCTCAGTCCAGGGACAGGTACACGCCAAGCCACGTGTCCCTGTTTCAGCCCTCCCCCCAGAGGTGGGGGCATCCACACTTTTCAGGAAATGCTAACAGCTCCTCTCGATGTGTTTGTGTATCACAGCGTTCCCCAGACATTTCGTGGCTGCAAATGTGTCGTCTCTGAATCAAAGCTGGAGCTTCACGCATCAGAGTGTGAAAGGGCGATTTCCTGTTTTCTGGTATCCTGAGATCTGGTTGAACAAGCAGTGAACTCATAATAAGGCATCTTAGTAAAGGGATGGTCCAGAGCAGCTTTTTAAAAAATGTAATATGTGACACAAACCTAATGCTCGCCTTGAGAATGTGCCTCATGTGGTGCTGTATATTCTCAGTTCTGCTGTATGGTATGGAATTGTGGACTTTAACAATTACCTGAAAATGCTACCCTAAGTGGAAAAGCAGATATATCAAGGGATGATACAAATGTCATGGGCTGAGAAGGTGACTGACAGAGAAGTCTGAAAGAGAACATATGATGACCAGGAAACAATGGAGCACAGAGAAGGCAGAAAGCTCAACTGCCTCGGCCGTACCTGAGGCAAGACTATGCTCAGCCCCTGGGGCCTTCCTCTGGGCGTCAGCCCCTCATGAGGGTCAGAGGGTGGCAGCAAGGGGGATGGCCTTTTCAGTGGTGGCCCCCGGCTTTGGAACAACCTCCCAGCTGCATCCCAGCTGGCACCAAATCGGCTGTCTTTTCAGCAGCAGGTTAAGGCAGGAATTGAAGAACTCCCTGGTCATTGAGGGGCCTGACAAGATTAGCCAGGGTCTTTCTTTTACTCTGGGCTGGGTCTTTTAATTGTCTTTTAATGTTCCTTTATGTTGTTTTAAATCAATTTTTAATTCTTCTTGTTTTTATCTATTGTGTTTTTATACTTTGTGGTAAACCACCCATAGAGCTTTGCCTACAGGTGGCATAGAAATGACATAATAATATCATCACAAAAAATGGAAAATGGAGCCTGCTGCAACTATTTGTGCAAGATAATATAAGTGGGAGGGAAATATAGCAACAACTTGATTGCAAAACTTCGAAGGTTTGGGGGGCACATGGTATTTTTATTCATTTATGTCACTTGCATCGCTGTCCAGAGCAGTCACACCCCCAGACGGTGTATCTGTGATGAAGTCTGATCTCCAGCAGGAGAAGTGGCGAGTTTCCGCGTGGCCGCCGTGGCAGTGCTGCCCCGCAGGACTTGGGAGCGGCCCCCCAGGGCCCAGCTCAGCAGAAGGGGCTGCCGGGCACAGCAGTGCTAGTCTGTCGCACTGTGAAGCCACGAAGTAGAACGTTTGACCACGGAGCATCCTTCTGCTCCCCCCGTCCTTGAGCACCAGCCGTCCTGGCTAAGGCTGGTGGGAGTTCTAGGCCCAGCCGCGTGGATGGCCACAAGTCGCCCCCCCCCCCCCGGGTAAGGCGCGCCCCTTGGCCTGTAGTGTCACTGTGGCATTGGCAGTGTGAAATCGCCAAAGTGTACACTGGCCCGGTGTGTCCCTGGATTAGGCGCATAACCCTCTCCCTCCCTCCTCCCCGTGTCACAGTGAGGCTGGACAAGTTGTCGGAGGCCACCAGGGTGAATACGGATGCCATCCACACTGCCCAGGAAGAGATTTCCGAATACCGCCGGCAGCTGCAGTCCAAAACCACAGAGCTGGAAGCTCTCCGGGGGACGAAAGAGTCTTTAGAGAGGCAGCGAGCTGACACTGAGGACCGCCACCACATCGAGGTCCAGTCTTACCAGGTAAAAAGCAGCGGGGTGCGTAGCCCGAGGTCAGATCCTGCACAATTTAGCCGCACAATCCGAGGTTCACACTGGCTTCTTTGCTCAAGCTCAGCCAGGAGGGAGAGAGCGAACAGGGTCCTGTTACGGGAAAAACAAAGTACTCACCCTGGTATCTTTTCTGGTTGAGTATGTTTTGCAAGGCTTGGGCAATACTGCAAATTCTGACGTACAGTACTTAAGCAGAGTCGATCGCAGTAAAAAGTGATGACACACCTGTACAGGTAAATGGAAATGATGCTTCTATTAGTCTCCCTCCATCTCCCCAAAAATGTATTCTCTGCCTTCAGGTCCACCTGGTCTTGCCCATGGGGCAACCCAGAGGTGCCACCCTTTCATTTCAGAGCTTGGAGTCAGTGAGGCATCACAATCTGCAAAAATGTAAAATCCAATCCAGTGCTTGAATTCAGGTTTCCACTTTTAATTTCAGGGCCTTTCAGAATTTGCCCTTGAAATATATTACTTAGCAGCTCTTAGAAAACACTAGATTAATCAGCATACCTGAAGATCAGGCCTGAAGGATGATGGGTGTGTTAGTCCAACACATCTAGAGAATACCAGATTGCAAACGACTACACCATAATTAATGTGTTACTCTTTAGGGCTCCCCAACACTGCTACTTTTTGCAAAAAATACTGAATGTGCCAAATTCAACACTCTGAAGTTCTTTTTCTTTAGAAAAGGCATAAATTCAAGAGCACCGTAACTGCAAACATATCATAAAAGGACATTGAAACTAGGAGGAAAACATAAATTTGAATGTGTGGGAGCCAGTGTGGCATAGTGGTTAAGAGCTGGGACTGGGACTCAGAGGATCCAGGTTCGAGTCCCCGCTCAGCCATGGAGCCAACTGGGTGACTTTGGGCCAGTCACAGACTCTCAGCCCAACCTACCTCACAGGGCTGTTGTTGTGGGGCTAAGATGGAGGAGGAGAATGATGTAAGCTGCCTTGAGCCCTTCGGAGGAAAAGGCAGGATATCAATCAATCAATCAATCAATCAATATGTGTTGCCTTCCCACAATTGAATCATCTCCCTCCACACCACCAGGAAAGGCACCCATTGTAAATTATACAAGGAATTCTTGCATGTTGCCGGGTGATTGTAACTGTTCTTGGGTTGAAATCCCATCTGGCCAGGCAGCTCAAAGGGCGACCTTGAGCCAATTGCTCTCTCAGCCTGGTCTACCTCACAGCGTGGCTGAGAGAATAAACCTGGCAGATGGTTCCTTTGCTTTATGACTGAAACACTGCACAGGCTTTTTAATACAGCTAGATTAAATTTCGAAAGGCACCTCCAGTGTAGGAGTGGCGGAATCTGTGACCCTCCAGTAGTTGTTGGAGTGCAACTCCCACCATCCCTGGTCACTGGCTCTGCCAGCTGGGGCTGATGTGTGCAGGAGTTCAACAGCATCTGGAGGGCCACACATTTAACTTTCCGGAGTCGGTTGCTTCAGGTTGGCAAGCGGATTGCTTCAATGCCTGCCTCTTTCCCTCAGGAGACGATCACGCAGCTGGACAATGAGCTGAGGAATACCAAGTGGGAAATGGCGGCCCAGCTCAGGGAATACCAAGACCTCCTCAATGTCAAAATGGCTCTGGATATCGAGATCGCGGCATACAGGTACAGGTCCTTCCTCCGGGGAGTTAACAGTCCAGGCTAGGTCAGGGCAGAAGTGACTGCCGAGGGCCATCTGGGCATGGGCACCTCTGCACTCCGGAGACGTGTTTGCAGAGGCTGCCCTTTTGCAAGATGGGTCACCCGCCCACCCAGTTCCCTTCCCCTGAGACCTCATCTCTGAGCTAAAAGAAAGAGAAAAATTGGAATTAATATTTTGCCCTTGGTTCTGAGTGCCGGCCATTAATTTTAGTTTAGTTTTAATACATTGCTTGAGATACCTATCTATCTCTCTATCTCTATCACCACAAATGAAGGAAGGAAGGAAGGAAGGAAGGAATGAGAGCCAGTGCAGTGTAGTGGTTAAGAGCTGGGACTGGGACTCAGAGGATCTGGGCTCGAGTCCCCGCTCAGCCATGGAGCCAACTGGGTGACTTTGGGCCAGTCACAGACTCTCAGCCCAACCTACCTCACAGGGTTGTTGTTGTGGGGATAAGATGGAGGAGGAGAATGATGTAAGCTGCCTTGAGCCCTTCGTAGGAAAAAGGTAGGATATAAATCCAAAAATAAAAAAAAAATGAATGAATGAATGAATGGTAAGTCACTTAACAGGTCAGGGGCTCTGTTTGGGTTGAAAGATTATTCCTAATTTTAGAAATAAAGGCACAAGGTGCCACCCTCACCCACTTCCCCCCTCCAGGTTTGCTTGTGGGCTGCCTTTAGACACTGATCTAACCCTCATTTTCACAGAGTGCTTCTTGTCTTTAGCCATAAGGGTTTGAATCAGAACAGGACAAGGAGAGGATCTCGCTGCACTGGCGTTGTGCTTCTCCGGAGAGCACACCGCAGGGTCTGACTCCGTTTCTCTCTCTTCTCCACCTTTTGGAAACAGGAAGCTACTGGAAGGCGAGGAGTGCCGCCTGGGAGTGGGGAGTGGGCCCTTTCCCTTCCCGGAGGTCCTCCCGAAGGGTCCCGGCATTGCTGCCCACATAAAGGTTAAAAGCGAAGAGAAGATCAAAGTAGTGGAGAAGTCTGAGAAGGAGACGGTGATTGTGGAGGAGCAAACTGAGGAAGTCCAAGTGACTGAAGAAGTAACAGAGGAAGAGGGGGGTGAGAAAAAAGAGGAAGAGGAGGAAGAGGGAGAAGAAGGAGAAGGTGAGGCAAAAGAGGGAGAATCTGAAAGAGGAGACGGGGAAGAAGCAGCAGCAGGAGAAGCAGAAGAAGAAGCAGCAGGAGAAGCAGCAGGAGAAGCAGAAGAAGAAGCAGAAGCTGCAGAGTCTCCATCAAAAGAAAAGGCGGCTCCATCTGCAGAGGAAGTGACTTCACCAGAAAAGGAGCCAGCGCCTGCAGAGGCCAAATCCCCAGCTAAGATTAAGTCACCAGCAAAGGATGAAGCCAAATCCCCAGCTGCCAAGTCTCCACCAAAGGTTGCTTCTCCCACCAAAGAGGGGGCCAAGCCCCCTGTCCAAGTGAAATTGCCAACCAAGGAAGAGACAAAAGCTCCAGCAGCCAAGTCCCCCGAGAAGGCTCTCTCTCCTGCCAAAGAAGAACCCAAACCTCCAGCAAAGGCTGCATCCCCCACCAAGGAGGAAGCCAAGTCTCCAGAAAAAATAAAGTCTCCCATCAAGGAGCCAGTCAAGTCTCCAGAAAAAGCCAAGTCTCCCGTCAAGGAGCCAGTCAAGTCTCCAGAAAAAGCCAAGTCTCCCGTCAAGGAGCCAGTCAAGTCTCCAGAAAAAGCCAAGTCTCCCATCAAGGAGCCAGCCAAGTCTCCAGAAAAAGCCAAGTCTCCAGAAAAAGCTGCCTCTCCCACAAAAGAGGTGAAGACTCCAGAGAAGGCCGAGTCACCAACAAAGGAGAAGGCCAAATCCCCAGAAAAAGAGACGCCTCTGCCAAAGGAGCCAGCCAAGCCCCCCCAGAAGGAGGCAAAATCACCTGTGAAGGAAGAGAAAGAGGAGAAGGCTCCGGTGAAGCCCAAAGCAGAAGAGAAGAAGGAGAGCAAGAAAGAAAAAGAACCAAAGCAGGAAACCCCAGCCAAGGAAGAGCCGAAACCAGAAGCCAAAGCCGAGGAAAAGAAAGTGAAGGCGGAAGACAAAGAAGAGAAGAAGGCAGCCGCTGTGCCTGAGCCCCCTCAGGAGAAGGAGGCCCCAGCTAAGGTGGAGGAGAAAAAGGAGAAGGAGCCAGCGAAGCCTGCCCCCAAGCCCAAGGAAGAGGCAGAGAAAGAAGTGGAGAAAGCAGCCAAGAAAGAGCCTGAACCAAAAGCTCCAGCTGAGGACGTGAAGGCCAAGACATCAAGCAAGCCAGAAAAGAAGGAGGAGCCCAAGAAGGAGCAGGAGGAAAAAGCCAAAGACGAAGCAAAAGCCAAAGAAGAACATAAGAAGGAACCGAGTGCCAAGGAGACTCCCAAGGCCGAGCCGGCAAAAGACGTGGCCAAGGTGGCCACGCCCAAGACGGAGAAAGTGGAGAAGTCCTCCAGCACAGATCCCAAAGATAGCAAACCCACAGAGAAAGCAGCTGTGGACGAGAAGGCCAAGAAGAGTGAGAAGTGAAGTGAGGATGCGGGAGGAGCATGACGGACCGGCAGGGGGTTGTGCAGGGCCACCCGCCACCGGGCCGGCTCTCTCTGTCCTTGAAAGACTTTGCTGAGGCGGGTGGCGACTTGCCAGCTCTCCCGCTGCAGCATGGGACTCGTTAGCAATATGCCCACGTGAAAGAAACAAACCGTAAACAAGCCAAGAGCCCAGCCTCTGCGAAAAGTTGGTTTGATTATGTTATGAATGCTTCTTGTAGCAGAATGCGATATATGCAGAATGCCGTATTTTAAGCACTTGAATCATTACAAGGGGGGGAAGGGGGATCTAGAGCAAAACCTGACTGCCCTTTTCAAATAAGTGCATTATTCCCAGTATGGGCAATGAGGGGTCAAACGCAATAAACGAATGTACACTGTTAGAGCTTAAATGATGCTTTGGGAGATGTCCAGTAGGCTAGAGAATCCCAAAACGATCTGAAATGCCTTGTCTTCATCATACACACACTTCGTAAGCACCATCGAGCGCTTCACCCACCATCGGTCTCAGGAGGAAGGTTGTTTTGGGCTTGTTTATACTAGACACTTGAATGGGTTTCTGGCTGTTTTCCTTGCCGTGGTTCCTCTTGGGCGGCTGGGCTCAAGGGCACGGAGAATTCTCCTGGTCTGTTGCAGAAGGGCGAACGTCCCCAGGACTGTCTGGGAGGGAGCCAGGCCAGCTCAAGCAGCTGGATGACTGATTGAAGTCTGTAGTGTCAACATGCCCCGACACCGACGTCAGCAACCACACACCTGCACACGCACATGTGCACACGCAGGGGGTGCAAAGTGCACCAAGTCAGAGATTCACTTCCAGTTGCTTCTGTGCAATAAAAGCAAATAAAATGCTTACAAAGACAGCCTCCTCTGCGTGGTGGCCTCCATTTGGGGTGCTTGGATGGTGGGGGAGCCCATGTCTCACTTGCCCATGTTGCCAGCTTCAGTCCTTCACCTCTCCAGCTGAAAAAAGGAACCAGGGAGCAGGTGATGCGAGAAGACCTGAGAAAACAGAGGAAATATTTTGTCCCCAGAGTGATGGTGGGGGTGGGCCTGAGACCCTCTGTTCTGGGGAAAGAGGTCCCAGTCTCCAGAAGGTGCTTTTGCTTGGATGCTTCCCCTTTGGGTGAGCTTGCTAGGAGACCAGCCTCCAGGCACGGTTGCTTTTTGACCCCTCACCGTGGAACCATGTGCATCCAGGGAGCTCTTTCTCTCTAGCTCTTTAAAGCCCAACTGCTAGCACATTTTCAGGACTGTTCCAGTCCCATCCTTCCGGCAGAGCTCTGCTTGGATGTGGGCATCCTAAGAATGCAAGTGAACCAGTCTGCATTCTGCATTCAGTTGAGCCCAAAGGACTCTCTCAGCCGGCTTTTGATACCTGAGTGGCGTCTGTCCGTTCCAATATACTCCTGTGGCTGAAGGAACAATGCCTAGGTATTTTTGTTTAGTAAAGGTGGCTGAGAAGGCATGTGGACTTGGTTGTGAATGGTGCACAACTAACAGTAAAGAGAGGTAGTTTTCTGTATCAAAAGAAGTCCTGCCTGAAGCAGCAAAACTTGTTTGGTTCTACCTTATTCCTAGGCAGAGTTTTCAGCATGTATGAGAAGGAGGGGATTAGCTTGGCAGCTTGGGTGACCCCTGCTGTCTAGTCTGGAACACTTCAAGACTGACCACCCAGCAAAACATCCCTATCAGTACGACTTGTCACTGCCATGACGATGGTTTTTAAATTGCCAAGAAAAGTGACAGTGGACATCCCCCTGGAACCTGGATTCTTTTGCTGTCCTTGCCCTGGTTATGGTTTGTGAATACTCTTTTCATGCCTTGTCTTTGTTTTGAGCCCTGGAACCAGAGGACACCCCCCCCCCCCGCCCCCAACACACACACACACACACACACAGAATGAAGCTTATGCCACCCTGTCCACTTTTCCCTGGGAGGGGATCTTTCAGACACAGGAGATCCTAAGGGAAGCACTTGCCCATCCAAGACCCCCACCCCCCACCCCCATGGACCATTGTGGCCACAAGGCCTGCTCACAGGTATCGTAACCTTTAAAAGAAAAATGAGAGCAGGCATTCCCAAAAAGCTGGGCACGAGAGGCACAATCCCACACTGCCCTGCTCTCCTTGTGATAACCAGCCAGAACACAGCCCTGCTCAGGCTGAGATCTCCTGCTTACACCCAGGAGCCAGGAGAGACACCCCCAGGGGAGCAGAACTGATGGTCCCACCTGGGATTCCTCCCTGGGAGTGGGAGCTCCAGGCGCCCCCCGGCACGGTGCTGGAGATGCTGCATGGAGACTGTGCCGTCCACAAGGGCTTAGCCTAAGCGTGGGCAAGGCAGCAGACGAGGGAGCTCCTTGGCTGGAGTGGCAGAAAGGCCTGCCACTCTAGCCAAGGGGCCAGTGGGCAGCCATCTTTCCCAGCCCGCCAAAGCGGCACTTGGGGGTGGCTTTCTGCATTTCAGCCTGGGCTGAGGCTGGGGCTCGGCAGGGAAGACGCATTCTGCCAGGAGAGGCCAGTGGCGCCAATCCTTCTAGACCCTTCCTCCATGGCCATCAGCCATGGTGCCACTGAACCTCCTCTTTGGGTTGGGGCCAGGGTCAAGGCGATCCCTTGGTCCCGTGTCCCTGCAGGGTCTGCCCCAGCAGGTAGTGCTGAAGAACCGGCTTGCTCCCACGGCACTGGAGTGGGGGGCGGGGGTGCCCACTGGGTCTCCTGCACTCATGAGCACTGAGTTGATACAGGGCCACAGGATCAGACCATCTGAGGACCTCCCCCTCCAACCTGGATCTGCTGGTGACAACCAGCTCAAATTTTTCTGTGCCCTTGAGAAAGCGATGCTGTGAAGGTGCCAGAATACTGCCCGATCTCGGTGCACGGCAGCCCTCGTGGTGTAGCAGCGAAGAGCACAGGGCTGGGACTCAAGCGAGCCGAGTGCTAGTCCCCACTCGGCCATGGCACACACTGGGTGACTTTGGGCCAGTCGCAGTCCCTCAGCTCAGCCCACCTCACAAGGTTGTTGCTGTGGGGCTAAGACTGAGAGCAGCAGGAGAATGGAGAAAGCCACTTAAAAAAAGGGGGATATAAATCTAATAAGTAAAACCCTGAGTGTTAACATAAGATGGGCACAGTGGCTTGGTGGTTCTGTGGTTGAAAAAAAGCTTGGGAAGGAGGCATGGGAAGGAGCTCGTAGAACAGGTTAGCCTCACACCTGCAAGGATACATCCTATTAGTAAAACCAGCGCAGGATTTTTTTAAAGTTCCATTTCTCTATCCCCGCCATGCACATGCTGAGGGTTCCATCTCCAATTGGACCGAATGCTGCCCGGATGTGAAGAACAATCGAGGACGCCGCCGCATCCATGCCAGCCGCGGGAGGCTCAGTGGCTGGACTTGTTCCCGCCTGGACACGCGCGGGGCGGTGCTCCTGCACGCGTGTTGCTGAGACACGGGAAGTGCAGGTCCTTGCTCACCCACAGGCCTGGCAGACAAAACGCAGCTGCGCACCACCTTGTCGGACAAAGCATCGCTTGCGGCAAAGCCTGCCGAGATCACGGTGGGCTTCTGCTGGCTGCCGGTGGCTGAAAGCTGTGTGCTGCCACCCCACCAGCCTCCGAAGCACACGCGGGGCTCCTGCCGGTTTCCTTCCCCTCCCACCGTGGGTCCTGGTTTCCGTTCTCCATCGTCGGTGCGCACGTGCAAGCACACCCGTCTTTCCTCTCCGCTCTGCCAGCAGCTGTCGTCCAAGGCTCTCCCCACCTCCCGCTTCTGCAAGCACGGAGGCGCGACATGGGGCTAAAAATAGGCTCCCCAGAGCCACTGCAATGCAGCCTTGCTTCTCACTTCCTTCTTCCCTGGAAGGGCGCCAGCTGACTTACCAGAAAGCAGCGCTGACGAGTAACCTGTGAAGGCAGGTGTGCAGGCAGCCAGCGGCTAGCCCGCCTGCCTCTCGGGGTGGAGGACGACCAGAGCAAGAGGCCCCCACGTCTCCCACTGGCAGTGCAGGCTCTTGGCACACCCGTCTGTGCACTTCTCATGCACTAGGACCCCCCCCGTTTGCCCACCCCCCCCATCTTGCATCTTGGCTGCAACACGGGGAGCTCACTCCTGCTGCGCCCGCCTCCCCCATCCATCCCAGCAGCACCTGCAACAGCAGCTGTGGTGTGAGGCGCTCACGGCTGCATTGGCCTACAGGGCGCGAGGAAGGCTTGGCGGCAGCCTCGAAACAGGTGCGGCTGGTAGTAGAAGCACCCAGTTTTCACTTGAATGCATTCTTTTCCAAAACCACAAAGTGGTAAAGGACTTTGGAAACAACCCAGCTGAACCCCTCAGTCAGTGCAGAAGTCTTGCAACGGCAACATAACCGTTCTTGACAGACATACAACCGGAGACCACTCCCATCTCCTGAGCGAGCTTGTCCCACTGCTAGAAAGGACTTGTGCTTAGCCCATTTCTCCTCCTGTCTGGCTCCAATTCACTCCCAGGCTTTCACCTGTTTCTCAAGACTTGGCTCCCAGGCCCTTCACCATCCTGGCTGCCCTCCTCGGGACACGGTTGGCTTCATCGGCGTGTCCCTTTCGATGTGGTACCCAGAGTGGACACGCTCCTCCAGGCAGGGCCTGAGTGAGCGCGGAGCGGAGCGTCTCCTTGCCGTTGTCAAGAGCGCGTGCTGCCGTGGACGGTGTCCGGGACGGCGCTGGCTCCTTCGGCAGCCTCATCGCCCTGCTGGCCCACTGTCAGAGGCTGGCCCTGTACTTCCGGCAAAGCAAGCCTCCCCCTTAACATGCATGCCTGGATTCATCTGGCATCTAAAAGCACTCTGCATTTACTGCCATGACATTTCCAATCTTGGGGTGAGGGAAGTAGGAAGTCCCCCGCCCCGCCCCCCTGGCCATTTTCAGCAGTTTCCTGGGGTAAGTCAGGGCCTGCCCCTCCTGGCAGCTTTGCCCCTCCAGCCAGGATGCACGCCTCCTCTCTCTGTAAGTAACGGATGAGGCTCCTCCTTCCCAGAAGCCTTCACCAGGGCGGCTGGGATGGCGGCAGAAGGCAAGGAAAGGGACGCAGGCTGGGATGATGGGGTGGGGGAGGGGTGGGGAAGCAGGAGAACGAGGGCCATGGCCCCCCTCCTCATCAAGGGATGCTGCAGAAGTGCTAAGGGGTCCCCCACAGCCTTCAGAAGGCCTGATCCAGCCCCACAGGCATGAGAAGAGGCGGCCAGGCGGGGAAAGCAAGAGGCTCAAGGCCGTTTAAACTGCACATCAAGCCTGTAAGCAAAATCTGAGCACGCACCCACCTAACAGCAGCCCAGAGCCAGAGTCCCTGCTCTGCATTCTGGAGGCCTCAGGTTCAATCACAGGGCATTTTAGCTGGCAGAACTGGGAGCAGCCTCAGCTGTAGCGGCTCAGGGATGGCCTGATCTATCAAGCCAGCTCCCGATTCTGGGCTCCTGGAGGCGCTCAGCCAGGGTGGGCCTGGAGGCTGTCTTAGATTATCTTTTCTTGCAGCCGCTTCCTGTGCCTCCACCTCTGCTGTTCAAGGCAGAGCCTCTCGTGCGGAAGGGCAGGAGGCGCTGACACGGAACCCTACAGAACCTCAGTGGGCTGGGAACAAAGTGCCAGGGTTGACACTGAAAGCCAAAGGATGCTGAATGGTGGCAACGAAAGGAGGTCCCCTTCGACGCAGTATATGGCATGAACTGCCAAGACTTCCCCAGGAGAGGAGACCAATTCACGGCAAATGCGGCGGTCGATGAAAACCAGTGCCGCAGGAAACAGCAGCAGCGGGTGCAAGCAGGTGTCTGGTTGGCCACTGGGACAGATGGACGGACAGACAGGACTCTGGACTGGAGAACCTTCGGTCTGGTCCTACGTTCTTACACTTTGGTTATAAGGACAAGCACCAAGTTCTTTCCCTGCCATCTTGAATCATCTGTAGGATGCTTTACAAGGCCAAGGATACGTCAACATAGCATTTAGGAAACACACTTGTCTTTACATTTTAATTCTTTCAAAACTACCTCCACTACGGATAACAGAATGGAATGAACCGAAGCCACCGAAGGCAGAAACCTCTGGCATGCCTGGGACAGGGTCAAGCCGGATATCTGCCCACCAAGCATCTCTCGCCTCAGGCCGCGCTCTCAGCTGCAGGGCTCAGCGATGGCTGAAGAAGCCCTGGGGGTAGTTGTACTTGAATGGCTTCATCCGACTGGGTCCCCTGCGAAAGGAGAGAGAATTCTGAGTTGCAAAGACATAAGTTGCATAAGAAGTGCTGGAAATGCCTTATTTCGGCTCTCCCCGACCGACTACCTCCAGCTGTTTTGGACTACAATTCCCAGAATCCCTGTCAACTGACCATGTTGGGGGGGGCTGATGGGAGTTGGCATCCCAAACCTCGGGAGACTACCAGGTTGTCTACCCGTGCACTGAGGAAGACCTAAGTAGGACTTAAAGGTCTGGAATGGTCTTAATCCAACTAAGACTATACTCTCCCAATGATTTAAAAAAGCAAAAAGGTTCCCTAACCAAAGAGAATGCTGCTGAACAGACAGGACTTAATAAGTAGAGGAGAAAAGGTTGCCGGGTTGGGAATGTGTCAGAAGACAAAACACAAAGACCTGGTTTGCACATAATGGCAGCAAATGCTGGTCTGCTTGACCCAGGAATTGCCATGTGTGAGTGAAGACACAAAAGCCATCTGTACTTTTAAAGAGTGACCCAGAAAATCATGGTTTGTCATTGGGTTAACCCAGGATGGGTTGACCCATGAACATAACCAGTGTTTCCAGGTCTGCATATCACGAAACAATACAGGAACTCAACACTTTATTTGGTTTGTTAAGTAAACACAGAAAAGACTCCCACACTCCACTCAGCCCTGCAATCACTGGCTAAAGATTGAGGAATTGCTGCTGCGATGTGTGAACCAGGTTCAAGCGTTTTAACCTTGAGCAGAGAAGTCAGTGCAGACAAAACAAAAAGCAGATAAATAAGGGAACAGAATTCTGCATCTCTGCTGCCATGGAGCGATAGCTAATACCCTGGGAAGAGAGAAGCAAGATTCAAGGTGACCTTGATAGGCTGGAACGCTGGGCTGACGACAACAGTCTGAAATTCAATAGGGACAAATGCCAAGTTTTGCACTTAGGAAAAAGAAACCAAATGCACCGTTACGAGGAGAGGAATACTTGGCTCAACAATACTGCAGGCAAGAAGGATCTTGGAATTGTTGCAGATCACAAGCTGAACAGGAGTCAACAATGAAATGTGGCTGCAAAAAGAGCAAATGCTATTTTGGGCGCATTAATGGAAGTATCACTTCCAACCATGGGAAGTACCAGTTCTCCTTTGCTCAGCACCAGTTAGGTCGCATCTGGAGTCTGGTGTCCAGTTCTGGGCACCTCAGTTGAAGGAAGATGCAGACAAGCTGGAAAAGGCAAGAGGAGGGCCAAAAGGCTGATGTGGGGAGTGGAGACAAAGCTCTCAGAGGAAAGACTAAGAGAACGAAGCATGTTCAGCCTCAGGAAGAGAAGACTGAGGGGAGCTCGGATAGCATTCTAGAAGTACCTGAAAGACTGTCTTAAAAAGGAAGGACGGGATCGCTTCACAATCAGCCCAGGGTGCAGGGCATGGTATAATGGGCTCAAACCGCGGGAAGCCAGGTTCTGCATCGTTAGCGCAGTGAGACAATGGAGCTAATTACCTAGGGAGGTTGTGGGCTCTCCCACATTGGAGGCATTCAAGATGGCAGCAGGTCGGACCTGATGGAACTCTGGCCCCTTCCAACTCGTTTGCTCTACTATTCTATGTCACAACCAAAGGAGCCTGGATTTCAGAAATGAATCTAGTGCAGGGTGTATGCTTCCCAGGGTCATAGCCTTTTCAAGTATACAGTCCTCATAATTCTAGAAAAACAAATCTTCTTTAAAACTGTCTGAACAGAAATTGATATAATTAAATATAAGCAGCTGTGGGGGACTTTTGGGGCTGAGCAGCTGCATAAAAATAATTCAGATAAATAAATATGAACAGGAAGCAAGTGTGAAAGGCTGATTTTCTTCCCTGCAAGGCCAATACTTTGCTCACATCAGCTGCCCATGGATCTCCTGTCTCTGGCATCTCATTTTCAGTGTATGCCGCCCTGCCCCCCCCCCCCCCCCCCCCCATTTTGGGTAAAAGAACGCAATGAGGCAGCATCTGGTTTGCTTCACAATGGCCTGTTTGTGCCATTAATTACTTTTTTTGCAGGGAAGATCAGAGACAGCCAGCGCACTGGTCACAGTGCCAATCAAGCTGAGGCGATGTTCCACTTGAGGGTGCAACACAGAAGAGGCCATGCTTGGAAGCAAAGGTGGCACTTGAGCTGCTGGGACCTCAAGGCAGCAGGTTCCGGAGGAAGGAGCAGCCCTTTCCCAGAACTCAGTCCCTTTTCTCCAGCCCAACGGGAAGGGGAGGGGTGGAGCGCTCTCGCCAGCAGGTAGCCGGAGCAGCTGTGCTAAGTGAGGCTCACAGCTGCCCCAGACAATGTGGGAAGAATTGAGTCAAAGCAGGAATGATGTGTCAAAATTGGGGTGGGGGGGAGGATGGGCAAAGAAGGGGAGAAAAAAGATTTTTAGCTGGTTAAAAATTAACCAACCTGTCGCCTGCTAAAAGCAGGGGAAGGTTTGCTTTATGAACACAGAGAGCCGTCCTATCCTGTGCCAGGTCCTTGCCCCACCAAACCGGTACTGCTGACACTGACTGGCAGCTCTCTGGGGTTTTAGGCAGGGGTGTTCCCAGCTTCACCTGGAGATACCAGGGATCAAGCCTGGGACTTTCAGCAGGCAAGGCAAGACCCCCTGAACCCAATGGCCCTTCCCTTTCATTTGGACACAAAGTGCCTTGCGTGCCAGCAAACCGTGTCAGCCACGGATGCTGGTGGAAGCGGAAGGATCACGAGTTCAAATGGAGCCCAAGCAAGAGGGATGCTTCCAGAGCGTGTGATGAACAAAGTGCAGACTGATATATGCCCACATTTAAAGCCCCCAAGCCAGGTGAGGCATGGCGGAACAGCTTGCATCCACCTTCCACGATATCCTTTTTCATGCCAACTACCTCGGTGCATGAAAGCCTCCCTGAACTCTTCGACTGGGCTCCACTGGAGTCAGGTGGTTTTTTTTTGTAGGCCAGCCACCAAAGAAAACTTCAAGATCAAGATCAGGCTGGAGCTGGCTGCTGCCTCAATTTTAATCTCCGAAGCTTCACTTTCAGGTGACTTTGTTGTCAAGACTGTGAGCAGCGCTTTAAAATTCCAGCTCTCTGAAGGGACAGTGAAGACAATGTGTTGATTTTATTTAAAGATTTGGGAAGTCTTTGAAAGAAGTGACTGTCAGAAGCAATCATGGTCACCTTTTCAAAACTCAAGATGTATCAGCAAAACTGTATGATTTGGCATTAAAAAAGAAAGGAAAGCTGGGCAGCAAGGAAGAAAGTGTTTGGAGGCTGCGTGTCGGGACCTGCTACAATTTGGGAGACAGACACTGTGAGAAAACGGTGCTTTTGGGGCCTGCAGGGACAGCTGCCGGGTAGGGACAGGGCATGGTGGGAATTCAGCACCAGGGTGCTCTGCACTGCGCGATTCTGCAGCAGTGCCGCATGGGCACAGACCTGAGCTCCAAAAGCATCGTTTTGAGCTCCTTCATTTAAAAAATCATCCTAGCCCCAAAAACCATGAGCGAGGACTTATGGGTGCTGCTTAGTGAGGTCTTCAAAGACCCTTTTGCAAATGAGTTCCAGTGGCCAGCATGTAGCACCTGCAGAAGCGCTGGAACCTCTGCCTCCGACATCAAGCAGAATCATGCGAAATAAGGAAAAGTTACGATTTAGGTAGGGCTGCAGAACCAAGTCTCCTGCTCTGTGGGATTGTTGGGGGAGGGGGCATCTTTAGGGCAGAGGGTGCCCGGCTCCCGTCTTTTGTCTCTTGGACACACCGCTGCTTCCTGCGCTGAGATTCCTTTTCCCTGCAGCCTGTCCAGCAGCAGATGAGACCCTTCCTTTGATGGGGCCGGCCCTGCTTCAGATGCTCCGCACACGGACCTCTCCTACCCACCTGACCAGGCGCAGACACATCTTCTCCTGCGGAAACTCCTTCGGGCCCTCCACACTGTTGTCGTGGGTCTCCGTCTCGAGGTAGACGTCCAGCACGACACACAAGCGCTGCAGCTGGTTGGTCAGGAGCTGGTGGCCGGGCTTGGGGCCTTGAAGCTCCTTATAGCAGACACTGACCTCGCTCTCCATGGCCTGCCATGCATGAGGGAGAGGGAGAGGGAGAGGGAGGGAAGATGGGAGAGAGAGAGAGAGAGGTCAGTCCCTGGGGGGGCTTTCCAACAGAGGCCCTCACCTGCTCGCTCACTCAGCTCTGTTCTCTCCTCTTCTGCGCAGCGTGCCTTGTGCAGCTAGATTTCTGCCCAGCACAAGGACATCGACAATACGCCCCACAAGTGTGGGGCAGACACTGCAGATACACTGTTAGACAGCATAGAAACAAAGAATCATAGAATCGTAGAGTCAGGAGGGGCCGGAAGGCCATCAAGTCCAACCTGATGCTGGTGCAGGACACCAGTGACACCATCCCGCTCAGAGGGCTGCCCAGTTTCTTTCTGAACATCTCTCGTGTGGGAGAGCCCCCACCTCTCCGGGCAGCTGGTTCCACTGCCGAATTGCTCCAAGAGGAAGGAAGCGTTTCCCTACGTTTGGGGTGTCGAAGCTTGAATTGATTGCATGGGCCATAAAGCAGGGAGACCCCCAGGCGCCCCGCTGCCAGGGAGGTGGGAGAAAGACGCGACTGCCTGCAACAACCTGGCCGCCCGCCCGCCCGCCCGGAGGTCTGCCGCAGAAGCACTGCCACGCTTTCCTGCAGAATTGTGCCCCACGTAAACAGTGTGCGGAGGCTCCTCAGACCTGCTGAGCCTGTGTGACCATTCCTGGCCTACCTACGGTCAGAGGGCTTCAAAAATGAAGCCATTTGTGCTGGGGAGGAAAGGAGGAACGTGCAGCAGACGCCCCGCCCCGCCCCACCTGTCCAAGTGGCTCCCAGCAGAGTTCGCTGCCCGGCCTGCCCCCGCTCCTTACCCGGATGTTGCTGTCGTTGCTGCCCGTCTTCTCCCCTTTCCAGTTCAGGCACAGGCTGAAGATGGGTGGAATGCTGGAGTAGCCGGGATTCAGCACCACGGCGGCCTGCAGTTTGGCTGCAGCACACAAGGGGGAGGGAGGGAAGCAACCGGACCGTGTGCATCAGACAGTCTGAGGCCTGATCCTGCCCTGCTCTTGCATGTTTCCAGTTGAGGACAGGTGTGTGGTGGCGCTGTCCAGCACAGATGAGGCCATGTCAGGGGGCACAGCCCAGCCCTGACAGCCCCCTTTCTTCCTCCATGTTGGAAGGAGGCAGCCCGAGCGTGGAGAAGGCAGCTCTGGCCGCCCCACAATGCCACTGCGACCGGCGATGCTGGCACTCACACCCCCTCCTCCCTGTGCAGGGAGTCCCGGCGCCCAGAGAGAGCAACTAGCCCCTCCGTGGGCAAGCAAGCAAAACCCAGCTGTGCCCCACAGCCTGAGAGCAGAGAAAACCACTGGGGGGGGGGTGCCCCCCCCGGGAGGATTCTTCCAGGAGGAGGTCTTGGGCCGAAGCTCCACCTCCTGGAGAATCTGCACCCTCCTTTAGGAGAAAAGAGTGCAAAATGAATCCAATGGTGCCGCCTCTCTTCGGAGGACTCTGAGTGCCGTATTTGATGCCTTTGCTGCGCCCGAAGCGTTCCGGCTCCCCAGCCTCATCCCCCACAGAAGGGCAGCGCAGCTCTCCCAAGCCTGCTGGAAAGAGCCCAGGAGAAAGGAAAGGCGCCTACCTGTCCCTCTTTCGACCAGGGCCATGTAGTACAGGTGCGTGTCCTCTGCCAAACCAGCCTCCACAACATCCTTCGTGTAGGGCAACTCCTGGGTGGGAAGAAGAATTGAGCCAGGGCCGGGCCGGGCCAGGCCGGGCCCGCACTGTGTGCTCTCAGCCAAGGACGCAGGTTGCCCCCCGGCTCTGAGTGACACAAGCACGTCAAACCACTGCGCCCAGAGTGCCTGGCGGGACCAGCGATGGGGGGAGGATCATTCTTCCACCTGACGTCCTGAGCTGCTAAAAAAGGCAGCTTCACGAAAGTAATAGGGAAAAATAGGGCCACTCGAACTGAGCAGCCTCGGCCTTGGTCCTCCACCATTTTCCGGTGGCCATCCTTCAGGAGGAGGCATGCGCAGTCTCTGCACATGCTCAAAGTGCAGACAGCCTACACTTCCCCCTCCCTTTTAAGTAGACATGCATGGTAAGTGCCCACTAGAGAATTGCCATGTCTGCATTCCAAGAAAACGAATGCTCAGGCAGAGCTTTCCATCGGATCAAGTGTAAGCCCCTTCATGCGAAGGAGAGAAAGAGGGTGACTACCCAGAGAAGGGCCTTTTCAGCTGTGGCACCAGCCCCCCAGAAAGGTGCACCTGGGACTGACACCATGCACCTTGCAGCACCAGGCCAAACTTAAGTTTTTAAATGTTTAATATATTGTCATATGTCCTGAGAGTCATTGACTAAATAGGAACAGTACATAAAGGGTTTAAACAGGTAAAATAAATAACATTTAAGGGCGCAATCGAACAGAGATTCCTGGCATCCTACCAACTCGCCAAACACTCAGACAGCCTAATTTGGCTGTGATGTGGCTTTGCTGCTGCTCGTGATGGGGAGAGGCTGAGGCTCCACCAGGACACCTCTGATCCCAGCTGAGCCTCGCCTTCCCCTCCATGCTCCTGGGAACCCACTACAACACCGGCTCCATGGCAAAGTCCTCTGTCCTTGAAGCTGTAGCTGCTGTGGAAAGAGCAGTGTCAGCTGTGAGGGCGAGAGGGGTGTGCATGGAGGCCGGAGACTCAGCTCTGGATTAAAATGGATTTCCAAGATCAAGACTATAATTCTGACATTTCCTATGGCTACTAAATGGCCCAGCAGACACAGGATTGCCCCCTAAACTATACTAAATGTGCTTTTCCTTTAAAAAAAATCCTAATCAACGATCTCCTGCAACTGGGGGAAAGAAAAAGACTGTCCAGGGGTCACATCCAGAATTAGTTGCATTTCAAGGAGACGCACTGAATCTTTGCAACTGAAATCATGCTTAAAGCAAGCTCCACTGATTTCAGTGAATTTACTCTAAGAATGACCAAATCTGGATTTCAACCCCATGTTTTCACCCCTCAAAAACATTCCCATTAAAATATTATCGAAAAAGACATCACTGGCTGTACGCATTTCCAAAGGATCCCACCTACCAGGTAGTCCTCATAGGTGATGGCTGTCCACTTTGTCAAGCGTGACACAATCTTAGCTGGAAAGAGGTGCTGGCATTCACTGGAGACAGGCAGGATTCCATGCTCTGAGGCCAAGCACAGAAAAGCGTCCCATGAACGTGGTCCAGGAGACGAGGCTTCTTCAGAGACCCAAACCCTGCTGTGTCATCTGAGCTCATGGCCTGAAGGCTATTTCTGGGCTGCTTCCCCTGCTCACAAGCACTGCTGCCCAGTTCTGATGACACAACAACCTGCGTTGGGTAGCTTAATGGCAGCTACGCTAATGGCAATCGGTGAAGAAGCTACAGTGGCTTGTTTTGATCATGCAAAATGGGTCAGAACCGATGGGCTGCCATGCATGAGTGGAAGAGACATCAAGCTCTGGCCAGGGCAACAACCATGGTTAAATCCATGGGTGAGTCATGGGTGAGTCTGGCCATTGGGTTTGCCTGCCTTTTGGGCCTTGAAAATGAATCTTCTATCTCTCTTACTTATCCCCCGCCTTTCTAACAAAGTAACAAAAATGAAACTCAAGGCAGCAGGCATTCATTTCAGCTAACGAGGACTAGGTACTTTTGCTTCTTAAAGCTCTGATTCATCCAATTGGCTTGATAGCTAAGTAGCCTGAAAGCAACTGTTTTATACTTAAGGATTCACTGCAACATCTGAGAATGTACCAGAACACCATTTGTGTAGTACATCAAAGCGCTTCATTACAGCTCTGCAAAGCAGACCAGGGGTTACATCCAAACTGGAGAACAAAAGAGCTTGCAAGAAAGCACAAGCAAGAGACATACGGGGTGTACGGCTTGTAAGGAAAACTGGAAAACAGGGAAAGGAGGAGCGGAAGCGAGAAAGGACATAAATGGTAAGGAATTATGATGGGTTTGTAGTAAAAGCCAAACTACACGTGGCTACTGCACATGTACCTCTTTCTTTAGAAAAAGCAGACACGTGTGCGTGGGGAGCTGATCTGGATGAAGCCATTCCCAGCCAAACGATTCTTCCAAGCCACGTTAATCGCAGGCTCCCCCAAGTGCCATTACAAGCAACTTTCAGGGGCAATTTTGGTCAGGAGAAGTGAGGGGGCTGAGTTTAAGTTCTCTCTTCTTTCAGGCTGCTGCCCTGATCCAGCCCAGAGACCTCATGGGTCTAATCATGAGCAAATGCTTTTAAACACAGTATAACCTTAAAGGGGCTTACACGACAGAATGGCCCCTCTGTTAAATAGAGAGGAGGACAAGCCCTACACACAGAAAATAAGCAAGGCCAGGAAAACAGTTGCCTCTCTTCCTCAAGGTGCTGCTTTTGATTTCGGAAAGGAGATTGGTATTTTTGTGAGAATTCTGCCAAGCACCGCTGCCCCCGGTTCCTGCTGTGTAAAATGATGGGCTCAGACATAATGTGGATCACCTCAGGGGAGCATGAGGCCTTAGAAGTGGGGCTCACGTTGCAGTGAAAGAGAGTCGTGGGCCTGCAAAGACTCTGCAGTGGCCCAGAAAAATCAAAACTGGGGTCTTGTTGGCCCAAAACTGGGGTCTTGTTGGCCCAGGAGTAGCTGTGACGTACCCAGCGAAGCAAACTGCTTATGCAGAGCGAGGCGGGACTCCAGCCTCATCTTGAGCAGCTTCATCGTCCTCTCCATGTGGCTGGCACTCAGGGAGTTATCGGCTACCACGGGACTCTGTCAAGACAAGACCAGACCAGACCAGACCAGACCAGACTGGGATACACTGCAATCCAAGCCTTGTTGGCCACAAAAGCTGGGTGGGCAGGCCAGGACTGGATTCTCTGCCCTGGAGAGCTGCAGGACATGCTGGGAAAGGTTGGAAAAACCTTCCTCTGCCTCAGTCCTTTCCCTGAAACCACCAGTCACGTTGCTGTTTGTCCAAACGGTCGGCCTGGCTTTCCCTCAGGCTTATTTCCCAGCAGTCAGGACTTCAAGTGGCTGGTACTCTGGCCTCTGCCTGGCAGTGGAATCCCTCACAAAGAGTGGCCCCAGGGGAAATCCAGCCCGCAGGATGAGAGGACCCCCCACTGTCCTTATGGTGTATGCACACAGTCATTTTACGGAAGGATTTTGAGGAGCAACCCTTAAAATCCTGCTTCCAGATTAGATGCCCTCGTGCTGAAGGGGGACCACAGATACAGGATATGAACTGCCCTGAAGGGCTCCACCTGACCTTCCAAGTTAGACCTTCCAAGTTAGTGCAGGAGAACCAGGAGGTGTGATTACTGCACGAAGAGGCAGCCTGGGCAACCCCAGGGATTTTGGACTACAGTTCCCATAAACTCTAGATAGAATGAGCAATATTTAGGGATTGTGGGATTTTTTTATTTTATGGCTATATTTATACTTATGCTATGATAATAAATAATTATAATCTATTTACATTTTATTTATAATTTAACTTATATTTATGATATAATTTATACTTAATTGTAATTATTATAATGGTAATCTTTCTCCCCCCCCCTTTTTTTGCAAGGACCCCCCGGTGGTGTACCTGATTCTCCTCCTCTCCATGTTATCCTCACAACAGCCCTGTCAGGGAGGTTAGGCTGAGAGTCAGAGGCTGGCCCAAGGTCACCCCGTGAGCTTCGTGGCTGAGTGAGGGTCAGAACCCGGATCTACCCGGTCCCAATCCAACACTCTCACCACGACCACCCAGTGGATCTCCTGGGACTGCAGTCCAAAACACCGAGAAGGCACCAGGTTGCCTACCCCAGGTTAGCGTCAGGCTGGGGAGATCAGCGTGGACATCTTTGCTCAGGTCCAGCCGCTGAGATGCTGCCTGTACACAGCACCGCCTCCTCAGCATCGGAGCCAATGAGCTGCCGTGGAAGAGCAGCAGTGCTGCCCACACCACCTGGCTCTCCCACTTTCACTCCACAACCCACCATCAGCACATCTGCACGTTGCAGGGTGGGGAGTTTAGGGGCTAAGCAGCCTTGTAGCTAACCCAGGAACAAGCCATGGGTTAAGTGCTGGGCTGTTTAGCCTCTAAACCATACAGAAGCCTCATTTCAAAGGTCAATGAGCGCCCTCTTGCTCCCTTTGCAGTTCGAACTCCCAGACTTGGGCCAGCACTGACAGCTACCGAGGTCTTGGGACACACCAGAAGCGAACTCGAACTTACCTGTGGCTGGTCTTTGGGGAAATTCAGCCCCCCCAGTTTCTGCACCCACATATACGGGTGGCCCAGTTCCGTGACATAGTCATTCAGGCTGACGATGCTGGAAAGACAGAGGGAGCGTGAAAGGACAGGTCACCCACTTGTGACTTAGGGGGCAGCTTCCCTCTCCATGACTGGCTTACCCAACTTTATCGAACTGGAACTGGTTGGCTGGATTGGGCGTTTTCTTTCCATGATCTCTGTGATACAGGCAGCTCAACAGGGAGTCAAGGGACAGGAGGTCTCTGGGAAGAAGAATGGGGAAAGGACACAATATCAGGATTTCCTGCTGCACCCCTTCAATCGCAGAAAACCCATGCACCTTCTCTCCTGGTGCTGTTTCAAGGCATTCTGGCTGACTGAGGAGGGAAACAGCCATTTGCACGTGCATTAGAAGTACTTGTATTCTCATCAGCGAAATTGTTTTCAAGCAAAAAGAAAAAGAAAAGACAAATGGCAGTGGAATAGGCTCCTGTGCCAGAAAGCTACCAATTCAGATTCACAGAAAATCTTCAGCTCAAAGTGTTCTGTGAGGAGGGAGGGAAGGGTCTAAAATCTGCAAGTCGATCAGTTGGCAAGTAGTCCACTGAGCTACTTATCTCCCCCACCAGCGTTCAATCACCACCCACCTTTTTGGCAAGAACAAACGCAGCCCTGTCTCTGAATCAGCTTGCTGCCCTCCCCCCAGTTTTTGCTCTCCACATTCAATCTCCTACCACATCTAGTTGCTTCTTCCCTGAACCACACGGCAAAATTCCACCCCCACCCCACCTGCCCCCTAGGAAAAACTCGGCTTCACACAGTTGTCATCTCCAGTTCTGACTGCTACAACCTCCCTCTGGGCCTTTCCCCTCTATAAGGCAGCAGCCTTCTTTACCCAGACTCCGCCGTGAGAACTGACTCTGTCTCCCATCGCTCAATGCGCCCCCATCTCTTAATTAGCTTTTCACTCCACTTTTATTTCCAGCACAAGCTCCATGTCCTCAACTACTGCTCTGCCATAGCCACTTTCTGGGTTCTTGCTATTCTCTCTGCCTGTCCGTCCGTCCCTCCAGCAGCTCTACCATTCGGGACTCTCACTCCCACGTCTTCCTGCCCCACGTGTGTCGGACTAGCTGTGCGGATGGGGTGCCACCCTCCCCTGCCCCTTTCTACATCCCACTTTCACTCCCAAGTGCCTGAGCCATAACAACGGAAGTGCGGCTACACGGGCTCCAATCGCTCCCTTCCCTCCCAAGGATGTACTTCCTACCATAGACCGGAAGACCGTGGCTGGCAGACAAGCCCGGCTGCAGTTCCCGCGAGAGGAGACTGGCTGGATCGGGCCCACTGCCCATCCGGTCCCGCAGTCGGTTCACACAGTAGCGGCCCAGTGGAACCCCCAGTGGGATGGGGGGCAGCAGCCCCCACACCCCCAAGCTCCCAGCTGCGGGGCACGCAGGCATTCTGCCTGATCCCAGGGGTGGCACAGCACGATCAGGGCTAGAGCCCCCGCAGGCCTTCTCCCCCAGGGATGCGTCCGGCTCCCTTTTGAAGTGGTCCGGAGAGGCGGTCGGGGTCCCAGTGAGCAATCTTTTGCTGAGGAAACACGGCAGGGGCCAGATACCCACAGGGTTCCTACACAAGCTGACTGCCACAATATTGCCTTTGTGTATTAAATGGCAGAGGAGCAAGGCTTCTTCCAGGGTCCTCTCTCCAGTCGCCCAGAGGATGCACCAGTTCTAGGCACGTCCACAGAGAGCCCAGGAGCCTTCCCGGCTTTCACTTCCTGCTCCGCCAGGCCTACTTCCCAGCCTGGCACCGCAGGCTGCTTCTCTAACGCCCAACTAAATCTTTAGCTAACAAACTACTGCAATCTCTTAAAAGAGCCAGCAACCATAAGTTGCCTGATCTGGGCTGAATTTCTGCATGAACACAGGTACAAAAGGCAGGACCTGCCCGGTGGTGGCTCCTTCCCTTTGGGGACTCTCCTGCCCCCTCACTGCTCGCTTCAGAAAACAAACACCTTAAACTGTTTACTCCAGTCTGCATTTGGCACTTAAAAATCATCAGCACCTGCTGTATGTTAGTTGCCTTATGCAGACAGCACACCCTGATGGCAAATTTGGTCTTCTTTTTTTAAAAGGAATGGTGATGATGTGCTTCTGTGACTGACATGGCGTTTCACCTGCAATGCGATAGTCCAATCTGCTTTTTGCAGAATTTACCGACCGACTAGTCGAGAGTGGAGCATTTTGTGGTGAGCGAGGTTACATGCAATTCCGGCTCCATCCGCTCGAGATGACCATCTGCAAGGCCACTTTAAAATGGAAACGGCCAATGCTGGAAAGCAGCACTGCATTTCACAAGATTGGGAAAAGGACACCAGAACCCCTGCTCTGGAATCGCCAAGGCAATGCAGCAGAAGGAAACTGCAGCTTTTCCAGAGAACCCATGCGCCGCTTGCGCAGGGGCATTTTCTTCCGCAGGGCCCCACAGGTGAAGGAGGAAAGGAAGAGCAAGGGTGCACTCACAAACATGCTGTCTGTGCCAGAAAAGGGCCCGGCATGCGCTGTGTGTACCTGAGCTTCGGGGAAGGCAGAAGCTGCCTGGAGGGGAGGCCAACCAGGGTCTGCCAGCTGCCCGGTGCTGATGCAGGGAGTAGCAGTCACCCTCTAGGGATGTGGCCTGGATTGGCACCAACCCGCCCGGAGAGGATGGGGCTTTTGGGAGGCAGAACAGGCCCTGCTCCTCCAAGCCATGCTCCCTAGCAGTGCAGCCGTAAGCCACGCAACCGGCTGCGGATCCACTCCTCTTCCGCTTTTCTTCCATGTGGACTGCAGGCTTGTTTGCCGATGCACCCTTGTAAAGGCCGAGAGGCCCCCCGTGCAAGTTCTCCCCCGCAGTCCAAAGGGGCATGGCAGGCACCCAGGTTCACCACCTGAGGGAGAAGCGGATCCTCAAAGTGGCCCCAGTGGCTGGCTAAGTTTAAAAAGGAGTCCAGACCAGAGAGCACTCTAGGCTAGCCCAGGATTCTGCTCCATGACACCTGGCGCTGCATGTGCAGCAGCCTCCCGCAACCGCACGCCCTGCAGAAGTGCCGGGCCGCAACCGCCTGCCTCTCCGGGAGGGGTGGCCAGTCCACCGAGGGGACACCGGCTCGGAGGAGCACCTTCCCCCAGTGCGGGGACACCCTGCCTCCTCGCCATACCCAGCACAGCCCAGGGAGGGCACGGCCCAGAGACAAACGCACCGCCTCAAGGAGCCCACTTCGCTTGGTACGTGTTGCTCCTCGAGGCCTGGAGGAGGGTGCTTCTGAGCCCATGCTTAGCGAATGCCCACGGCATCAAGGTCCGAAGTAGCCCATCGCCTCGGCACAGGCCTCCTGAGCCCCCGCTTGGCCGGGGCTCCCTGCCTCACAGGCTGGTTACGAGGGCGAAATCAAGCGCACCACGTACACTGCCCAGGGCAAAGCGAACAGGAACGCCGTGTGCTCCGGGAACTGCCAGGAAAGCCACCAGCACAGAACCGAACTGCACAATTCTACACAGTTGCGATGTGCTCGTGCAGCCAAGCTAACAAGCCAGGGGTTCTCCTAAGCCGGCCTTGCCCTTACGCACCGGCCTCCACAGGCTCTGGAGGGACCAAGCTCCAGCCCTTGAGGCAAGGTGGCCCGCACTGCGGGAGGGGAGGCGGTGGCTGAGCGGGTGCCACAGCAGGAGAGGGAGCCATGTGTCTGCCAGAGGGTGATGGGGGGCAACAGGGAGGCCGGAGGCCGCCAGCCCCCGGTCCGTCTGTGCCGGCTCAGCAGATCGGCAGGCACACGCAGCCGCGACCAGGCAACCGGATTTGCCTGGCCGTGCCGGCCATTCTTCGCCGCTGCATCAGGCTCCACCGAGTCTCGCAGCCACAATAAATTAAGAGATGCTAGACAGGCCCTGTCTTCTCCGATAAAGTCTCCTTGCTGTTCAGGGACAAATGAGTCCCAAGAGGGACGGCACTGCAGTGCCTCCCAGGGACCAGACCCAGCCAGCAGAGGGGATGATGTGGCAAAGGAAAAGGAGCCCCTACAGCTCCCCCTGCTGTCGTGTGGGCAAGGAGAAACTTTTGCATCCAAATTCTAGCCCATGTGATACGTGGCAGGTCAGGAAAGTAGAATCCGCAATTCTGCAAATTAAGACAGGCTGCCTCCGCTGCCACTGCCGCCCAGCTGGTTCTCGGCCGATTCTAATCCTTGTGGAAAGGAGGCATCAGCAGCCGCGCGATTAAGGCAGGAACAAACGATGCCCTTAGCCTGGCTAAAATGGTGGTATGAACACTCCAGACCAGAGAACCACTGACAGGATCACTGCAGTCAGGAATTTGTGCTGCCACCTCGGCCGGGAGGAAGGCCTTGTTCTACGCAGCCTAACAGGAGACTCAATACGTTCAGCCCAGCAAAGATTATGGGGTGATGCGACAGCCGCCTTCAGATTTCAGACGACAGAAAAGACATGTTCTCTGTTGCTCCAGAGAGCAGGGCTACAAGAAGCTCGTGGGAGCTACAGCAAAGCAGGTCCCAGTGAAAAACTGGGGGAAATCTCCTGACAGGGTGGGCTCTTCGGCAGCAGAACTGATGTTTGGCAGGTGGGATCTCCTTTGCGGGAAGTATTTCAGCAGTGGCTGATGACCATCAAGACACCTGTAGCTGCACCTCCGATGGGAGGTCCGACACTGGGCAGGGGGGTGGATTGTATGACCTTCACAGTCCCTTCCAGCTCCATGACTCTACACTCTGAAATGCCCCTTTGCACCAAGCGGCCTAGGGGCCACTCAACCAGCCTCGGTTCCCCAACGGCGAGAGAGAGGGGCCTTACTCGCAGCGCTGCAACAGCAGTGCCCTAGCCATCCTGGTGCCTTGCAGGGGCACAGGACTGTCCCTTCCATCCTTCCCAGCCAACATGGGACGTCGCAGTCCTACTTATCTGGAAGACACCAGGCTGGCGAAAAATGCTCTAGCACCAGGATCACAACAACAACATATGAAGCACCTTCTCTGCTCGAAAACACTGTGTGAAACGAGCTGTCATGATCATTAATGAAGGACATGCAGAGTCAAAACCCCCACGTTCCAAGGAGACGATCCAACATGCAGCAGCCCTGGATGTGTGCTGCATGCAGGTGGCTCCGGATTCAGTCTCGGGCACTCTCACAGGAAGCAGGTGCTTGGCCTCCAGGGCTTGTAAAGAGCCCTTCCTGGCCAGCAGCACCAGTCCAACACTGGGTTAAGCCAGGTCTTGGGCAGCTAAGCCACTCTGCTGCACCTCACAAGACAGCCAGAACTGCACTGACTGCTCCCCCCTTTCTGCAAAAAGCAAGCTGGACTTTCAATGGATTCGGCAGGGCAGATATGGGCGACACACACCGGCAGGTCCTGTGCGGTTCCGCCCCACCCTCCGTGGCGGCTGAACCCTCCTGAAATGGTCCCCAGAGCGCAGCCACCAACTCAGCCGCTTGCTGCCAAAATTCGCTGACAAGCTGCTAGACAGAGCCTGCAGCTTCTTCCCAAGCTAGATGTGACCCCGGGGACAATCAGTGGCAAGGCACAGCCTTGTGGGACGGCAGCAGAGATTCGAGTGGTGCAGCAGGTGGGGCGAGGGGCCGGCAGCTGGGCCCCCGAGCTGCTCCATCTCCGGCTTGTCATCCATCTCCCGCCACCTCTAACTTCGCCGCGGGTGTGACCCATGTGGCATCCCGCCACCCAAAGCTCACCCGGCGCTGACGGGCATGGTCATCTCCGTGGCCGTGGTCACCCGGGCTTTCACGGTCATGACGTTGAGGTTCATCAGATAGTAGAAGGTCAGGAGCAGCAGGCTGCCATCTGCAACGACACACCGTCAAGGGTGGGTGTTCGGGAAGGAGAAGGCAATCCGCGGAGCTGCAGAAGGGCGTGGGACCATGAGAGGACACGCTGCAGCAGCTGCCAACTGAGTGCAGCAGCCACTTGTGGGGGAAAACAGCAGCCCTCTTGCCCACTGCAAGGGGGAACAGGCCAGCTGTGAGGAGGAGAGGGGGCAACCGGGGAGGAGAGTGGCCTGCATTCCAGGCTGCCCAAGCGGGACTGCACTGGCCACCGGGCAGCTCTTGCAAGGGAGTGAGGAATGGTCGGCTATGGCCGCCCTGCCCGAGGTGATGCCTGGCAGGGCCAGCCCCATCCCACCTGCTTATAAACCGTCACCAGCAGCTCGCGTGAACTCTAGGCCTCACACCGTGTTCTGCAGAGCAGATTTGTGCCCCCCGGGTCCTTCAGCTGCACTGGCGCATGAAGACCGTGACGGCATCCGACTGGGGACTGCAAACCGCGGGTGCCAGCAGGACCGCTGTGCTCTTCTACCTTTGCATGTCAGCTCCACGGTGACCGAGAGTGGGTGCCTCCTGAGCATCTCCTTGCGCTTGTCATCCAGCTGCACCCCCAAAGTTGGGCGGCGGCGTTTCTAGAGTAGGGGAGACAATTTCACAGCACATTTTGTCTCCTTCCTCCCTTCTAAGGTTGGACATGCACATGGTGGGCATGCTGTGAGCGGAGCTGACTGGAGCCGGGGGTCAGACTAGATGGCCCGGGAGACCCCTTCAGACTCGTTCTGTTTCTGTGTTTCTGTATCGTCGTTCCCCGTCTTACGCATGTACTTTGACGCTCGGCTGTGAGTCCTTCCGCATGAGACGATCCCCAATCCCCTTGCCCCCACAAGAGCAGACCCTTGCTCACCCCAGGCTCCAAAGAGCACCTCCCTTTGGGGGAGCCTGGTTTAAAGGCTCGCTGTCACCTCTTGCATACAGGATGAGTGGGGAGACAAAAGGAAGTCAAGCAGAGCAGTTCCAGGGGTTTTGTGATTGTGATGGCAGGAATGGAGGACGCAAGAGGGCCTTTGTCCCTATTTTTCAGGGTGGACGGGGGCACGCACTGCACACAAGCACACCCCCGCCCATTCCACCATGATACCCAGATGGCGCTTCCCCACCGCAGGCAGCCCCTCCCTCCAAGCCCTCCAGGAACAGGGGGACGGACGCTTACTGTGGTCTGCTCCTCCTCGGCATCCGAGTCGCTCTCATCATCTGTGAATGCAAACAGAGGAGTGTAAGAACGACAGCTGAGCCCTCCGGCTGGATCACTGCAAGGTCCATCAGGCCCAGCAGACCGTCTTCTGCAGTGGCCAATCAGGTTTGCTTATTTGCGGCGACAATCCTGCGCAAGTTCAGACAGAAAAAGGGTCTCCCACTCCTGTCATGCTGGGAGTCGTAGGCTGTTCCTGGCCTCAATTTCCGCAGGACTGCCCCTTTAAGAATGATGCTCATGCCAAGTGTCATTAGATCAAGTTGCCTTACACCCAAGCCCATCTGAACCGGTACCTGGTTCCCAGGGATTCAGGAAGGGTCTTTCCGAGCCCTACTTAGAGAAGACAGGGGTGGAACCTGGGACCTTCCACCTGCAAAACAGCTGCTCTACTTCTCAGCTACAGCCCCTCATTCTATCTCAGTTCATTTCTTACATTTCTATACCACCCACCAGCCAAATTTCTCTGAGCAGTTTACAAAAATGAAATCCCCTAAAAATTTGCTGAAAACATACGAACAGACACGGGCTCTCACTGACTCCAATTTCACTGGAGGGGCTGGGCACTGGACATGATGAACATGCACTTCACCACCACGTCACACGGCAGACAACTGCAGCTCTCAAGATGATCCCTCACCTTGAGAATCCTCCGGAAGCTTGCAGAGAGCCTTGGCTTCTTCTACACTTCCTTCTATGGCCACAGCTAGCTTCTTATCTGCAAAAGATGAGTCCATTTTAGCCACTCTGGCCACATCCTCCCGAGAGCTTCATCGCACTTAGCAAAGCATGTGCATCTCCTGAAAGAAAGCGTGACCTGAAAACAATCAAGCCCAAGACCGCAGAACATCCAAGCACAGCATTCCATGATCTGGCCCCCTCTCGGGGGTTTTGGATTCCCATCAGCCCCAGCCAACATGACTGACAGTAGGGAGTGTGCTGCAAGTTGAAATTCCAAAGTAAGGAAGGCTGGGAGTTACAGCAGTAGTAGAGGTAGCTAGAAAAGTCATTCTCTACTGTCTAGGGGATGTTGGGAGTTGTAGTCCAACACATCGGGAGGGCACCAGGCTGGGGAAGCTGCTCCAGGGGCTTCAGCTGAGATCTTTTCCCAACCTGCTACCCTATTTGGAACCCAATGCGGATTACACTACCGCTTCCCAAAGTTGCATGGCCAAACCAGCGCTCCACGCTAGGATGCCCAACTTGTTGGTTCTGGCAAGGGTCTCTTTGTCAAGCACACTGCCAAACCCCTTGAGCTGCAGGGAAGGGATGTAAACGAGCCAGACAACACCACTCAAAGTCTGACAAGCGGAGGAGCTGGGAGTGGGGACAGGCCTCGTCCTGTTCTGCCCACTTAATACTCCCCACAAGCTGAAATTCCCCCGCCCTAGTTTACACCAAAACAAGAGCGTATGTGGCGTGGAGGGGCTGGGGCGGGAAGCAAGGACACGCACAGCCACCAGTCATGTAAGACAGAGAACAGGTGGTGCAGCCACCAAACGAAGAAAAGCCCTCACTTCCTGGTTCCCTGAAAAGCTACCTGTTGGAGGGCAGGACCAAGGCACCAACCGGGGGGCTCTGTACAGGGAAAGTCCGCTTGGCTTGGTCACGGTTAATCGCCGAATGGCTGTGCCAAACCGCATTAGGACTGGCGCACGTTGTAGCAGCCACAGGACCAACATGCCGGCCAGGGCTGACCGGGACCAGAGGGATGGACCCCTGGACTCTGATGGGAGGACACTCTGCACGTGTTGAAAGGCACTACCATCCCTCACCACTTTCCCACAGAAATGCCAATCTGACTTGCAGGAATGGAAGGGATTGTGGTCCAAGACACAAAAAATGCAGATTGAGGGACTGAAATCTGTGGCCCCACCAAGAGCCGGAGGAGCCCCAAGCAAGAGCAGGGATTCCCAGGGATGTCTGGTCGGAAGATGCACTGCAGCCTTTCCAGCGTACTGCCCTCCAAACAGGCGTTATCAGAGGAATCCAAGGGCGATGCAGATGAACTGGGGCTCCTGTGAATTGGACCTGTGCATTCCACCGTGGACTGGCTTTTTCTGAGTGGCACAGACTTCTCAACCATTTTCCATTTTTGAAAGGGAGCGAGGTTACACAAGTGTGCATTTTCAAAGAATACATTTCTTTGTACTTTACTTTAGAAAAATCCAATTCCATCGATGAATGGATGACAGAAACCAAAGATGCCTGACAATCCATGAAACACAGATTTAATGAGAACCACATAATCCAGCCTCCAGGTGTGTTGGGACCACAGTTCCATCATTCCCAGCCAGCATGGCCCAAATGGGAAAGGCTGCTCTATGCAGTACAAACGGCAGAAGCAACCACATTCCTTGTTATTTTGCCAAGATCTCTGCAAGCTCTTGTAGGCAAGAGAAAAAGAAAGGTACTCACCCTTCCTAAGGGCGGAAGGTTTCATGTGGGCTAACAGGGTTGGCCAGAAAAGAAAAGCACAAAAAGAAAGGGAGTGGACGGAAGGAAGAACAGAGGAGAGGTGAAGAAGAAGAAAAGCAGCAGCAAGACATTACAGTGTGAGTTCAGAATGAGAACATCCTCAGAGGTTGCTCGCCGTCCTGTCCAGGCCCACAAGCCTGCCAGTTCTCTGCAGCTCAGCAAAGCCACAGGGTGGCTTTGAGCACAACGTTCGGCTAAGCAATGCAGCTTTCACCCAAAGGAATGGCCACGGCTTTCTAGTTCACGTGGTGGCACAGAAGGCACCGGCAGGACTCGCGCCCTGCACAGCCCCCGTCCATCTGCGCTCAGCCAAAACAGGATGCAGCCCTCTTGGGAGACAACTTTCAAGAGGAAAAGAGAACTGCAAGGCTCTCAAGCTGCAGCCTGGGGACCAACCAAGCTCTCAAACTGGGCGGCTGCATCCATGTTCGGGCAGCTGCTCCGACATTCTCTTCCACACACACCCTACCCTGCCGGCTCGGGGAAGCTGGACAGCCCACGAGTTCCCAGACGATCAGTTGAACAAAAAAGCCGACACGACAGTTTCAGCTCAGCGGTGCTTCCTGCAGGGCCCTGCGACGGCAGACCCCACTTCCCCCCAGAGCAAGACAGGCGAGGTCTCCCACCTCAGCCAGTTGCGGGCAACTTACCACAGGCCTGGCCGTAGGCACTGGCTTGGACGAAGAGCACATAGAGGGGCGGAGGGAGGTGCCTGGCCATCTCGTACTGCTTGTGGACCTGATCAAAGGGCATCGAGAGGTACTCTTGGACGGGCAGAGAGGCCTGGCAGGAGAGAGGACAGACCCCGCATGTTGGCTTTGCAGCTGCAGCTCCACCAAAGCAGCTACCCACACACTGGCACCAGGAAGCACCCAAGAGGCCATTTTTCCACGGCAATTTTGCCTTGCTTGACCCAGCGGACCACCCATGGGTTTTACTGTGTATATTTTAACAGTTCCTTGGTATCTTGAGCAATTGAAACAATCACCATCCTCATCTGCTAGAAGTTGACTCCTTAAGTTTCTTATGAGTTGGATGGGTGAAATCTTGCCTTTTGTTTGTCCAGAACCTACTGGTTGGCACCTTCCTTGGCTAACCCCAAGCCCCAGTACTGGATGAGGGAGAAAAAATAGCTACACCATCCAATAATGAGTGCAGAATTCTCTACCGCTGCTTATTATCCTTTTACGTAATCAAAGCCGCACACATTCTAGTTTCTTCAGATAGGGTTCAGCACCCCGAGTTGCCCTTCTCTAGCTCCACATGGTCTTTGAGGGCCGCAGCCTCCTAAATAGCAAAAGACTCCCAGCACAGTGAAGCAGAAGGAACCCTTTGGAGGCATGAGGGGACACCTGGATGTAGGGAAGACCCCCACCATGAACCTACTTTTGAAGCCTTTCCTGGAAACTGCTCATTCATTTGCAGTTTCTCCTCCATAGTGATGAAGACTAGCACTATGAGCATTAAAAAGATTCACATTTTCAGGCTTCTATGGCAGCTATCAGATCCAAAACTGAAGGCCACGTCCAATGCTCTATAAATAGGATATGCACATTTCTAGGCCTTATGTTTCAAGTAAAGCAACAGCACCACACCTACGCACGAGAACTCTCGGCTCACAAGATACCTGCATAATGCTGTTGAGCCGAGGCTGAAGGTTGCTCAGGTATTCCTTCTTCACTTCTATCTCTTTAAGGATCTTCTCTTTGTTGGCCAAGCTCTCTTTGTACTTCTCTGCCAGGCTGAGTCAAGCAGATTAACAGTTACCCATAAATCACTACAACCTTCCTTGTTAGAGATTTTCCTTGTTAGAGAGTCGCATTAAACTTAAAGCTTAAGCATAAACTCAGAAGGCGCACCTTTCTGGCACAGACACATGCAAGATTTTAGGACAAAAGCAGAGTTATTCCCACAAGCCAACAGGACAAGGACAGGCGGCTGTAACTCCAGCTACATTTATTTGCATTAGGCAGATGGGTGTGTGACAGTATTGTCAGCTAAGACCTGGTAACAAAGGAATTCCTTGCATATGCCCAGAGGTGCCCTGTCTCTTAGCTTTATTTACTCTGCATCTCAAACAGACTTGGGGCTCTACTAAAAACACTAACTAGATAACAGAATCATGAAATACCAGAGGTGGAAGGAGCCCATAAGGCCACTGAGTCCAACCTGCAGCTCGATGCAAGACTCCGATTGAAGTTTCCCTGACCAGTGGCTGTCCAACTGCCTCTCGGATGCCTCCAGTGTGGGAGAGCCCCCAGCCTCCCCAGTTCTTTGGTTCCATTGCTGTACTTCTCTAACAGTCAGGAAAATTTTCCTGATGTTTAGCTGGAAACTGGCTTCCTGGAACTAGAGCTCATTATTCCATGCCCTGCACCCTGAGATGAAGAAGAGAGCCTGCCCTTCCTCTTTGTGACAGCCTTTTAAGTACGTGTATCCTATCTCCCTCCAGTCTTCTCTTCTCCAGGCTAAACACGCCCAGTTCTTCAATCGCTCTTCACAGGGTCTTGTTTTCAGACCCTGGATTGCCCTCCTCCTCTGAACCCTTCCTGGTTTGTCTGCATCTCTCTTGGAAGCGTGGTGCCCAGAACTGGACACAGGACTCCAGATGGGGCCTAACCGGTGCTGAAAAGAGGGGCACCAGCACCTCACATGATCTCGAAGCTGTACTTCTACTAATGCGACCTGACAGAGAAATAGCTTTGTTTGCCGCCACGCCACATGACTGACCCGTACTCAGCCTGTGAGCTACAACAATTCCAAGATCCTTCTCAGTTGCAGAATTGTTGAGCCGCAGAACTTTGCACTTGTCCCTCCTGAATTTCACTCTGTTACTTTCAGCCCAGCGCTGCAGCCCACCAAGAGCACCTGGAACCCTTTTTTGGCCTTCTGGGATATTGGCCATCCCACCCAATTTTGGGTTGTCTGCAAATCTGACCAGCGATCCCTGTACCTCGTCATCCAAGGCATCAATGGAAATGATGAAGGGCAGTGGCCCCTGCAACACCCCACTTGTATCCGCGGGCCTGAGGTTGGCTCACCTTTGTCTTAGGCAAACCTGACCTGCAATACTTTCCCCTGCAACCTGTAAGGCAGCTGGAGCTGGCGAGGGAAACAACCAGCATGGGTCTTCAGAAAAAATCCAAGCTCCAAATTTTGCAGAATTGGTGGTGAGACTGCTCGAAATTGGGTATAACCGAAATTCTCTACAGACTACTCTGAGAGCGCAAAGCAATCCGCATGAACTCTCTCAGTACTCCGTACACCACCACTTTAATGCAGACCTGCAACACAAAGTTGCAGCGCATTGCCTGCCTGCCCCCTCAGCAAGATGCTCTGCTCCTGGTGCCGGCGAGCAATTCCCCGTGAGCGAGGCACTCCTCTTTCCTCCACCACTACTTCTTTCCCACTGCCTCGCTACAGTCTATTCAGAGGCACAGTTCTTGCTGGACTAGGTGAGTGAGGTTGCCATCTTCGGTTTCTTCTCATTTTTTGGGGGGGGGGGGGGGAATTTCATGGGGTTTCCCCAAATATTTTCATGAATGCCCTCTTGCTTCTCTGGGGCTGCATTTTGGCTACGATCCTGCAGGCACACTGCACCTGGGCTGGCTATTGAGCAGATACCCCGAAGAGAACTCTGGCTTGCTCAGGGCCGCTGCTCGTTTTGCTCACCGCTTGCGTTGCTCCAGCTCCCAGTCGAGCCGGGAGAGCGTCTGCTGGTGAGGGTCGCTGCGCGTAATCTCTGGCTTGCTGATTTCTGGAGGGGCTTCCTTGTAAAACTCCTCCACGGTGACCAGCTCAATTTCTTCATGCTTGGACCTGAAGAAAAAGCACACCAGCAATGTGGACAGCTTGGGATAAGACCCCCCCTCTTCATTCAATCTCACATACTTTCACGGTCCCAAACTCTCACTTGGCTACAGTTCACTGACACTTCAAATGCCGGGTCTTGGAAAGAGTTCCAATGGTCATGAATGAGGATTCCACCCTTCACACAGTCAAAGCCACAGACATTTCCTGCAAAACAATCTTTACGGACCAAACTGTGTCCAGGAAGCACAAACACCCGGAATGAATTGCTGAGCAAGCACAGAGCGATTTGTTGACCCTCATCTAGGAACAATGTTTACGAGCACGTTTGGGGCCCATCCTTTCAGGGGCCTCCTGGGAATGGGCATGCCACTCTCTGCACACCGATCCCCTACCTGGGTTGCCCTCCTCTGCTGACGTCGTGTCATGGATGAGCTGTCCCACTTTGCCTATCTCGGAGAAACTCCCCTGCTCCAAGCCCCTCCCGACAGCAGCACATCCTGGTTATGCCCAGAAGCTGCCAGCTTCTCTCACCTCAACGTCTGGAACTGGCCCACGTTCAAAGGCCCCCTCCTGCCTTTTGTCCTCCTCCGAGTCCCGATCAGCAGGCCCTGAGCATGAGCTCCACGAGCCACTGTCCTTCTCACTTGCAGCACCAAATTCTAAGCAGCCCAGGGCTCCATGGGGGTGGCAGCAGAACCAGCAGGCCGCCCACAGCAAGAGTGGTGGGGGGAAGCAGGGCTTAACAACAGAGCCAAAAGCCCACACGCCTCCTGCATGCTTCCTCCATGCAGATCTTTCTGCCTGGCACAGGAGGAATTACATCATGGCAGCCGCCTATTATCGGCACTCTTGTGGGTTCTGATTATGAATTTCCGTTCTCTTCCCAAACTGAATCCACAAAGGATAATCTCTCTGACTCTGACCGGTACTCATCCAGCATTCAGCCTTTCCACCTTTCTACCGCACCCCTTTGCTGAGCTTACTTAAACTCCAGGCATTTAGTGATCTCCTTCTGCAGATGCATGACTTCATAGAGGAGATTCTGGAGCTGCAGATGGTAAGCGTCCACCTTCTGCTTGGCCTGAGAAAGAGAGGCAAGACCTAACTGAAGGCACAGATGTTTTGCCCGTTCTGCCAATCTTGCAAAATCACAACTGCATCTGGCGCATGAAGAAGCGTGCCTCTTAAAACAGGTTTGGGAAACAATGGTCCTTGTTTGGCATGGACACACTCCGCCTTGCTGTTAGTGTAGTGCTGGATCTATCAGTCCAGAACAACTGAAGCTATTTGGATTGTCCTCATAGGAAGATCTGGGCAGCCGGGTCACACAAGGATGTGGTCAAGGTTACCACGTGAAAACCTGCCCATTCCTTTTTATTGGCCACATGTCTTACAGGAGAATCCATCCTTTGCCAAACTCCAGGACATACTAGTTATCTTGGCTGGGGATGATGGCAGCTATAGTACAACTCAGCAGTACAACTTATTGTCAGAATAGCAGACTGGGGGTGGCAGGGTCTTCTATTGACTGCTATTCAACATTTCCACTAAAAATGGTGTTCAAGGCTGCCAATGAAAACACCATAAAAAACCACAAAGTTATAATTAAAATAGTAAAGGACCACGCATAAAGAATTTAACAATAAAATGGTATATTGCAGCTTAACACACGATACACATCAAATGAGGTGGCTGAACCAATGCACGAAGAACTGTAGGGTCCAGCCGCATGACACCAAAACCCCAGCGAGCGCTTTCCTGACTCAGCCATACCTCGTGGGTCTGGTCCCTTCCCTTCTTCAACCGAATGTGAGCTAGACGGTTCAGCTTCTTCAGGGTCATGAAGTGGACACAGCTCTGGATGCGGCGCTCCTCTATCTCACCGGCCTGAAGGGCAGAGGGGAGACATGGGGCGTTAATGGGTCCCTACGGGGGCTCCCCACCCTGTGCAGCAGCCGGCCTCTCTCTCTGTTTTAGCCCATGCTTTTCTACCCAAGGAAACACATGCACGGTCCTCTGGCCACACCACGACATCTTACACTGTCTTTGCTGCCTTTGCTCTTCAGCTCTTGGATCTCAGCCATAAGCTTTTGGAGGTCCTGGCAGGTCTGTTTGTACAGTTCATAATCTTTGTTGGGGTCCCGCAGATCCACCTCGGCCTCTTCACTGTAGTATTTTGCATCCTGAGAATTGGAAAGAGAAGGGGAGTGAGCTCTTGTGGGGTCTTTTTCCATGAAAAAGGGCAGCATGGCAGCCATGAAGCACATGCCGCAACATCACACCCCACTTGTTCTATGAGCAGCATGTGAAGCCGGTGACAGATGAACGAGCGATCCCTGGTGCTACAAATTCCATCAGTACCCCTCAGGTTCAGTAATGCATTTATTCTGCTTCAGAGATCACAGTACAGTAGAACTCAAGCAGAAAATAAATTTAATTTATGGGAGCTGCTAATGCAAGTGCCTGGAAAGTTCCCAGCACAAGGTGGAAGCTTTTGAATAAGAATCCTGGCCGAGCATGTCTCAGCCATCCCTCAGAGAAAATCCTCTTTCAAAGACAGAAAGACAGGTTCTGTGTAGGCTTCCACCTGATGGCTGAAAGTGTCCTTCAAGCAGTTTCTATTTTAGTGTATCATATCCCAGCATTTTCCTTCTTGTAAGAAAAGCAAGGGAGCTTATTGTGTCCTGCTCCTTTTCCATTTTATCCTCACAGGTTGGCCGAGAGTTCGGGCTGAGAGTTGGTGACCAGCTCAGAGTCACCCAGTGAGTTCCATGGCCAAGAGGGACTAGAATCCAAATGCACTGAGTCCCAGTCCAGCATTCTAACCGGTAAACCTCACGGTCCCTCAAAATGTTCTTGGAAATTGCATTTACTAAATAGAGATAAAACGGTTTAACTCTTGCCTGGCTTCCTGAAGCACATACTTTTGCTATGCAAAATCAGGTGAGGGGCTTGCGACGATCTCATTCTCAGAAGTGCCTGACAAAATCCATTCATTTTTGCAAGCCCAGAAAAAAAGGGAAACGAGGGAGTTTAACCAAGTTTCATGTGACTCATCAGAGAGTCTTAACTTCCTGCTCACTGCAGCTACGGTATCCCTGAGACACAGCCAGCCACTGCTTAAAAATACCTCCAGTGAAGGAGAACCCACCATCATCTGAGGCAGCCAATTCCACAACCAACAACCTTCTCCCAACTTTAAGCTGAAACATGCTTTCCATCCACGGATCCAAGACCTGCCCGTTGTGTGTAGCATCCAGTATTTGTTATGGCTTTGTCGGTCTGCCTGTAGGTTTCTTTCGCTCTTAACACTGTTCAGACTGAAGAGTTACTTGGTTATGACTCAAACCCCTTCTATTAAAATAGCTGACCCAGGTGCTTCTTTGACAATGAACACAATCCACCCTGCTTTCCAGTTATCCTCATAAACAGCAACCACGAGCCCCTCTGGCACCCACTCCCTGAAGCTACCTGGTCAGCATCTGGCTTGCCCCTCTTGCCCTCCTGTGGGCCTCCATCTGTGCGGATGACTTTGGGCTTCCTTTTCTTGCTTGAGTCAGATGACATTCTTCTTAAACCTGAAAATCTGCCAGACCAGGAAAAAGCGGTGGGGGGGGGGGAATAAATTAAATTCAGATTCAGGAAAGCTACTTTCAGAATGATCACTCTCTAGGACAAAACAACATGAGAACTGTTTGCAGTTGGAGGGCAATTCCTTTTCTTAAGGATGAAAGTCTCTCCACGTGTCTCATTCACATGCCAAGAAACTCATTCACATGGCAAAGCAAGTATCTGCAGGGGCATGAAGCCACTTTATTTATTTATAAAATTTGTATGTCATCCATTACTTGTGTCTCTGGACAGCTTACAAGATAGGTCAAAATAAAATAGATAAATCGACAATTCCACTCTGGCTGCAAACAATAAAATCCAGTTCCCATTAAAACATATCAAAGTATTAATTAAATAAAAAGGTCTTGACCTGGCACCGAAAAACATATAATGATGGCGCCAGGCAGGCCTCTCTGGGGAGCGCATTCCATATTTCCCACCATCTAAAGCAGTCCTCCTCCTACTGCTACCTTTTGCCACATGTGATTGCTGTTCCCTTGAGATCATGCCTCTCAAATTAAACCCCTTCTTTTTATGTTTTCCATTTTGGGAGGAACTATTTTAAATCTAAGTTTAGAAGATAAATGATTCCATTGTTAGAGAAATTTTTATAATTCCATTGGCTGGAATTGTAGGAAAGAAGCTAGAACCTGTTTGACCATTGGCACTGTAAGGGTAGATTAACTTATTTATAGGGGGGAAATAACTGAATTTAAATTAGCACACGTCAGTAATTTTATGGTTGTTATTCACGCACAGCAAAAATATTCTATAGCAAAAATGAGAACAGAAATTATGGTATCAGCTAAGAACTGATATAAACAAACTTGCTATGCTAAGGACTGGAAAGCACCAACCCATCAAGTAATGAGTGGAGAAATAATCTTGTATTTCTGCAGTAGGAGCAACATTTGCAAAAAATATTCAATTATACCCAGACACATGTTCTCAAAATTGGAGAGAGGAAAACACATTTATCAAATGGTATTTTACGTTTATTTAATTGTGACTTTTTATTATTGGCTCTTCATTTGCCTGTGCAGGGGTGATTTTACACAGGCATTTTAAAGCTGCACTGTATCCCATTACTTTTATCTGTTACATTTCTATACCACCAAACAGCCTGCTGTACTCCACTATTTTGTCACTGATTTCTCCATATATGTTGTTTTTATTTCTTTTAATTCTCTCTGTAGGAACTCTTCTGTGAGGAAAGAATTGAACATCTGGGCTGTTTACTTTTGAAAAAAAAAGACAAGTGAGCAGAGATATAATAGAGGTGTACATAATTATGCATGGTGAGGAGAAAATGGATAGAGATACTTTTCTTCCTCTCTCCTAAAACTAGAATCCAAAGGGATCATCCTAAGAAGCTGACTGGTGGGACATTCAGGACAGCGCAAATTAAAGGTTCCCTTGGGGGAAGCCGCAAGGCAGAGTGAAACTGCGGAATTCACTTTCACCAGATGCAGTAAGTGGCACCCATTTTGACAGCTTAAGAGGGGCCTGGACACATTTCTAGCTCTCAATGGCTACACGTTCTGATGGTGAACTGCTGTCTTCAGCATCAGAAACTGCCTGCCTAGGTACATCAGTTGCAGGAAGTGCTGCTGCACTCATGTCCTGCTAGGTAGCTGGTTATGAATGCTGCACTGCACTGACTCTTGCCTGACGCAGCATGGCTCTTCTTATGTTTTTTATTGCAGAAGGCCAAGTAAAGCTCAGCATCAGTAGCCAGCAGCACAGAAAACAATTCACTTGCCATTCAGGCTGCACTGCCTTCCCATGGCAGCCTGACACACACAGCTGCTAATGAGTTTAAAGTAGAAAGGCAGACTGGAAGGAATGCTGTGGGGTTTTTTCCCTTTAAAAAGTGAGCAGCAATAATGCTGGTCTAATCCAGCATAATTTCCATTCAATTCTTATAACACAGGTTGGGGAAGGGAGACATTTGCATCCTCTACCCATTCTCAAGTTTTGGGTCAGCCATTCTGGCAAAAGAATTAGGGTCCGATGCTGCAGGGTTCTTCTTATGTTCTCACAGCAGAAAGCCAGGAAAATCCCAGTGTTAATAGCAGAAAGCGGCACGTCACTGTTATTAAAACAAGAGTAACAACAGCGGGCTTTTCTGGTCTCCCAAGGGGATTACACACACCAACAGCCACTGCTAATGATTTTAAGCACCAAGGCAGGCTGGAATAACTGCCTTAAGGGTGTTTGTTTTCTTTCTTTTGTTCAAACACCAGCAGTGATGAGGCTGGTCTGATCCAGCAGCACTCTTTGCTTGTATAGAGGCGGCTGGGGAAGGCCAGGATGGGGAGAGCCGGTGTGGTGCAGCGATGAGGCGCGCAGGGCTGGGACTCTGGTGATTCGGGTTCTAGTCCACCACCGGGTGACACTGGACTAGCCACAGACGGTCAGCCCAACCTACTTCACAAGTCTGTTGTTGTGGGGATACGATTGAGAGCAGGAGCAGAATGTGAGCCACTCTGAGTTTGTTGCACGAAAAAGGGCAAGGTATAAATCTAATAAATAAAATGCAGGGCGAGGGGAAGGCTGGCCGCACCCAGCAGGGCACTGCTGCGCGGAACGCCGCCCTGCAGACACCGAGCCCAGACAGGCACCGGGGGGGGTGGTAAACGGAGACCCTCGACACCCCCCAGCTAAATTCCGCCAAGCAAGAGGACTCCCGGGCCCCCTAAACCGGCCTTGCGACGACTCCAGGCTTGGCGAAAGGGAAACCCTCCCTGCCCAGCTCGCCCGGAGAGCACCCGCGCCCCCGGCCCCGCCGCCCTCACCGCCGCCACCGGCCAGCGTTCCGCACGCTCAGGCAACCGCTTCTGCGCCTTCACCGGAAGCGCCAAACCGGAAGCGAGGCGTCGAGACCGCCCGGACGACCGAGCTAGAGCGGCCCTGCCGCTTCCCTTCCGCCTTCTGGTGGAGCGCCGCGGCCTCTCTTTCGATGCCGCTTGCGCTTGGTATCGCTCTGAACAAGTTCTGTCTTTCCTGAATCTATAAAGGCACTCTGCACATGCTCAAGGGCATTTCCCCCATTTATTCAGGGGGTCTTTTAAAAGCTTTTTCTCACCTCGAATTTTATTTTAAAGATATTTCTCCTGGCCCCTTACCAAGACAGTTTCGGGGGCGGGGGAAAGAGGGTCAGGGAGAAGAAGAAAAAGCAAACGAATGTTCCACAAATGACAGGAAATTACTTAGGGATATTGAACAAACCCTCTGGCATGAAAAACCAGTCCTAAGACCCCCTAAAAAGGAGTGGAGGAAGAAGTCATTAAAAGCATAGCTCATTTTTCAAAGTTCATTAAAAATAAAGAGGGGTGCTTGCCAGATTTCATGAAGAGAGAGCCGTATAAGTGCTACACCACTCTGGAGAAAGCCCTGGAACAAAGTGATGTGAATGTCTTCATTTCTTCCAAGTTTTAAGGCTGACGTTGAAAATACGCCACAGCTGAGCACAGTCACCAATGCATCTGATGTGGGAGGAGTCTGACCCATAAAACCCCAATAGCCTCGAACCCACACGGCTCAGATCCAGGTTCCACCCCAGTACTAGCCTGCCCAGAGATCCTAAAGCACCCTTCAGACGGTCCCTTCTGTATGGAGATGTGGGTGACAAGCAAGGAGAAGCCTTTGGGGGCAGAGATGCTTTCTCTTAGCGAGGCTGGCCCAGCTCTTCTGCTGACATTTCAAAGCTTGCTAAGAATAAAAAAAAAAAAAAAATCCCCAGGCCTTTTAAACCCCTCAAACTGTAAAGAAATTGTGTGTTTGATGTATTTTAGAAACCAGAGGCTCCTTTCTTTCCCTTGCCCTTCCCATGGAATGAGATCTTGTGCAGCTAGGAGAGCCTCGGCAGTTATAGGCGGCCTATAAATACATGTATAAATAATATAAATAAATATTTTGTCTCTTGCCTTTCTAAGGGCACAGTCCAATGCATGTTAAGACAGCAAAGAGCTCTGTAGTTCCCAGCAGGCCCCAGCTGGGCTATCATGCCCCAAATCGAGTGAGCTGTCGTGAAGAGAAAGATGTGGCCTGACGCAGGTTGCGGCTTGATGGACTCGATCAAGCTTTTCCGGGGAAGGACCAGAGTTCGGGGCAGAGTGTTGTTCTCTGCCATTGGGCAGAGGGAGGCGGGTGCCTTCAGGCAGCAGGCGCTGGTGGGTGGCAACCTCCAGCCTGTGTCTTGTCTTGGAGGACACAGCTTTGCATGCCACGCAACAAAAAACCCGGTCAGGTGCGGCTGTTGCCCCACCACTGAAGCTACCTCAACACCTCAGTGACTCATCTGTCCACCCAGTCAGACGCGGACTGAAATGGAGACACACGTCTTGCCCTTCACTTTGGACAACACCTGCCTTTGGCCTGCAGTGGTAGTGGTCACTTTGGAAGGGAAGGCACTGATCCTGACCGTGCCCACAGCTCCGCCCTCAAGGTGGGACCAAACGTTCAGGCATCGGCCTTCTGTCTCAGCAGACCACTTCTAGCTGTTTCACCTCCCCCTGGTCTTCAGTAGAACTGAATGGTCATTTCAGGCCCACCTCAGACAACCATATATACAGTTGGCACCAACTCTTATTTTGGTGCCAGGTGAAAACTTTTTATTTAAACAAGTTTGTGGTTGATTTGATTTGATTTAATACTTTTATATCTTGTTATGGATTATTTAATTTAATTTTGGTTAATTTATTGGTTGTGTTTATTTGATGTGAGTATATTTTATTATGAGATGCTATTTATTTTATTGTTTCATCTATTTTATCTGATAACTAATTGCTTTATTGTATTCTGTGTATGTTTTTATGCCGTTTTAGAATTTGTAAGCCACCCAGAGAGCCTTTGGGTTATGAGGCAGAAAAGAAATGGAATTAAATAAATACATAAGCCATACTATGTCAGTGCCAGGAAAAATCATTTGCAACAAAATGTGGAAGGAGCAGAGATTTTGGAGGGGTGGGGGCAGCTGATGAGATCAGCCAGGGTCCCCACTTGTAAAAAACGGTGCTGGGGCTGCCCTCGGTGTGCCCTGGTTGTGCCGCAGCCCGGCAAAGAGAGGCAGCTTCTCTGGGGACTGCCTTGACTGGCCCTTACAAACTGGGGGGGTTGGGGGGGGACTGCAGGGGTGCAGTCCAATGCACGCCTAAGCAGGAAAGAGGCCTATGAATCCCAGCAGGCTGGAAGCGGAGGCACTTTTCCCTCTTTGAGCAGGCAGGTGGCTTATAAAAACCTGAGAACTGTAGAAATTGTGAAATTCAAAAGAAATGGGAGGCGAGCAGTTTTGGAAAGCCTCTCCTCTGGGTTTTCTCCGGTGCCCTCTTGGAGGTTGGGCCAGGATGCCCGCCATCTCCGGTCAGCCCCCTTCTGAGCGAGCACTCGGGCCCTCCCTTCGCCAGCCAGAGGTCACCACACCGAGAAAGGTCATGCACGGAACTTCCATTTGCTTAGTATCTTGCCATACACCAAGAGACATTCAGGCCCCCGTAGGGTGGGAGCCGGGGCCTGGGCTTTTGTTTTCCTTCATGTCTTCCCTGATGCCTTTTGGCTTGGCTTGTGCAGGAACTGTCAGCGTCGTGGTGATACTTGGTGGCTCATCACTATGGAAAGATTCTGTGGGGCTGTTGGCAGCAGTCCTAGAAGAAGATGAAGAAAATGATGGTGGTGGTAAAGAGGATGATGATGACAAAGATGATGAAGAAGAGAATGACAAAGAAGAAGAAAAGAAGACGACAAAGGAGGAGGAGAGGACAAAAAGAGAAAAGAAGAGGAGGGGGAGGACAAAGAGAGGAGGAGGAGAAGACAAAGAAAAGAAGACAATGACAAAAGAAGAGGACAAAGAAATGAAGAAGAGGACAAAGAAAAGGAGAAGACGGAGGAGGAGGAGGAGGAGGAGATGATGACGACGAGGACGACAACAACAACGACGACAAAGAAGAAGAGGAGGAGAAAGCTGGTTTGGAGGATACAGAAAACCGTGCAGGGCGAGGGAAACGAGGCAAAGTGCACAGTGCACAACTGGCACGTGGGGTTGTTGCCGCTGTGGCTTCTTACCGCTTTGCCCCCACAATCGTGACAGCCCCTCCACTACCATTCCCGGCTCCACTGTGCTGAGAGTGCTCTGGAAAACCTGATTCACTGCTCCTGAGATGTGATGTTTACAGCATGGCCCAGGACTGTGAAATCTTCTGGAAGCAACGCCTCAGGGAAGCCGCGGCCCGGCCCGTCTTGCGCCTCTGGCACAGGCCCGTGGGGCAGTGCGACGCAGGGTCGTGTGTGGGCGAGCTCGACAGGTCCCTACCTTGGAACGCTGGAGGGCTTTGGCCTGCTGAAGGAGTTGCTGCCCAGGAACGAGGGGCAACAGCCGCTGGGCATTAAAGGGTGCAGGTCAACCATGCTGCGGAAAGCAAAGGGGAGGGCGGAGCGGTTAGCTGCAGAACCGTATGCGTCAGATGGCGACAAAAACTTTGCTCATGGGCACACATGCGTATCAGATGCACTTCCATTTACTGGCAATGCGTTTAACAGCCAATTAACAGTGTGGGGGGGCAGCTACCTTCACCTTATTCATATACTTCTTGGCTCCAATAAATTGCTCTCAAAGTAATCTGCAATAAACATTAATGTCAATATATACGGGCCGTTGGAAGAAACGATTTTGCAAGGCACACCTGCATGTTCAAATAAGTAAAAAGCAAGCACCCAATGAAGAGAGCTTGCAGGCAGCGCTACAGTGAAACAATCAAGATCTGCTCCAGAGCCAATGGCGAGCAAGTGCAGGACGGAGGCCGTTCTGCTGGGCTTGCGGTATTGTGGCTGCCTGGCGTAAATGCAGCCAGTGGGAGCAGAGAGGCCCTCTCCCCAGGCCAGTCGGTTCACGACTGACTCCTGCATCTCACTGCCAGGGAGGCTAAGAGGAGCCACAGGGAAGTGTTGGGCCCCGAGTGTCCCCAGAGTAATTCCAGGAGGGTGCGGGCAAGGCCGAAAGGTTATTCACTTGACTACGCGGATGGGTCATCAGCCCCACGACCCATTTCCCGTCATTGTTGGATGCAGACATGTTTTCACTCAAAGTGCCAAGAGACTGTTCCGTTATTTGCATTATACCTGGAAGGGGGAGAGCAGCAGTCCTGGCCTTTTTAACAGCAGGAAACGGTTTCCTACGGTCCCGTATTCAGTAAAGGTCATGCTGCAGAGATCAGGCAACGGTGCCATGCATGTGTCTGCAATTTTTGCCCACGACTCATGCCAGGTAACAAATTCACACTCAGGGCTTTCGAATTCAAGTTCCAGGGAGGAATCAGCATCAGCCTGAAAGTCTTTTTCTTCAGGGTGGTACATAAAAGAGCAGGCTGTAGGCAGGTTGGTTTTCATCACTGAGATGAGTCCGTAAGGTAATTAGTGAATCAGGGTAGGGGATGCGGATGGATCACCAGAACTCCTGGGGTGGCTGGCGTGGTCCTTCTGCGTATCGTTTACCTCGCTGCCTGAATGAGACCTCGGCCTCATCTGGCATAGTGCGCTGTGGCGGTGGAGTGTTGGGCTGGGACCTGGGAGAGACAGGTTCTGGTCCTCACTCAGCCATGAAGCTCTCTGGGTGACCTTGGGCCAGTCCTCACTCTCAGCCTAACCTACCTTGCAGGATTGTTGTTCTGGAGGATGAAGATGGAAAGCAGGGGAACTAGGTGACCCAATTTCCTTGCAAGAAGAAAAAAAGGCAGGATAAATGCAACCTAGTCTACCAGTTTCTCTATGAATGTGTGAAATATCTCCTCATTAGCAGTGCTGTGTCTTTTCGTCTTCCCAGCAAATGTGTGGATGTCCTTTCATTGCCATGACATCCAACCTCGCAGACC